GATTTGGATCTGAATTTTTGGGTGCATCTCTAGCAAGGATTTATTTGTTTAATTATAAATGGTGACCTAGTGACATGATTTCCAATAGACCAATAGTCTTCACACTTGGGGTCTAGAGGTTCTACCAGAAGCTGGGGCCTTAGATAGTGCTGATTAGGACCTTTGGAAATTATAGTTCAAGGACAACTGGGGCTCCAGGTCTGAGAACCACTGTAGCAGGATGTGTGACTTCTAATGGGACAACAATGGACTGGGATCTGCTAATGGGAGCTGTTGTAGATTGCTAAGACTGTCTAATATGCTCAGCTGCTTAACATGACCAATGTGGCTGAAATGTAGAGAGCTTTCAGGTAACAAAAGTTTTCATGTGGAAGGAATGTGAACCCTGTTTACTGCTATTATTCAGAAGACATTCTCTGGGCTCTTAATTCTTTACTTGTAAGTGGATGTTATTTCTGTGTGGATGGTGGATCTCAGAGATCTAGCAAAAAAAAACACCTAACCAACCAGAATAGATCCTGCAGCGAACCAGAAGTTTGTCTGCTCCTCATCTGCACCAGAACTTGGAATTACTACTTTTTGGACTACAACGGCCATGTGGCTGGAGGTTCTGGTGGCTGCAGTCCAAAAATGTAACATAGCAAAGCTGCAGTTTCTACTGAATGGCAGTAGAAAGGTTCCAGCAAAATCTGTCTGGCCCTGTTATTGGAAAAGGATGACTCTCGCATCAGATATGAGATATGGGACATTAGGGAAGCATGGACAGGTTGTCACTGAAGGAGTAAGGCTGCCCCTTTGCCTGATCCACTAGGTACCTGCGCATGGGATGTTTAGTTGTTTGTTTGCTATTGTTGGATTTGGGCATAGGGAGAAGTGTTTTGCAGGAATTTCAGGTGCTGGAATAGCTTGGCTGGCTTTGAGTGTGATTACACCTTAATTGGGTGCAATGCACACCTGGGTGGCAAGATGTCTGTGTCACATTCGCTGCTCTGTCTCAGGCTGCCAAATATCCGGGACAGCCTTCCAGCCGTCTTCTCATGCTTCCCAGGATCCTGGAGATGGTCAGAGGAGGGTTGAGTCCGGATCCTTAGCTGTGTCAAGAATGTGTTAAGCAGCACAGAGTGATGTCCCCTGCAGATTTGATGTCAGATGTACAGGTACAATTTGGCTGTCTCACTCTGGCTCCACCATGTCCTGGGAGCTCCTTCTGACGCGCTGAAGATGACGGTGCAAACTGGAGCACAATTGGAAACCATCTGGCAACAGCTGGGGAGGTAGCAACTATCCCCCCACCCCTCCCACCTGCTGCCTTTTTCTTTCCGAGGGTGATTGTCCAACTCCACGGTTTATATAATGATACATTTATAACACTTCTTCGTAATAAGGAAATGTTTCCAGCAAGATTGGGCAAGAACAGAAATAATTCATCCTTTCCTAATTGCGTCAGACCTCTCTCTCTCTCTCTCCTTTTCCCTTGACCTCCTACACACTCCAAGCAACTGTGTGTTTTCCAATGCAACAGTCATTAATATCAACCGTTGCCTCATGAGTTAACCCCTTCTGAGCCAGCTTCCCCTTAGCACAGGAAGACAACATATTTTACAAGACAGAACTGGGCAGAGTTTTAAGTCAGGACTGGGGACATACAAAGTGCTTCTGTTACTCGAGTCCATTTTCCACTAGCCCCAACCAACCTGGTTAGTGGCTGGGAATGATGGATGTACAAGTTAATTAACATCTAGATACTGTACTCACATGTCCTCCACCTTTGATTGAAGCCCTTCCTAACCTAGTGCCCCCCAGAACACTTCCCCAACATTAACCCCATCAATGTGGTCATTGTACCATCCCATCTTGAGTGTGTGTGTGGGAAATCTAGAGATGACAGGGTGAGATGTAACGCTCCCAATTCAGACCTTGTTTCTGTGCAAGTGTATAGGAAGAAGAAAGAACTCGATTGACAGCAAAGGGGTGCAGGCCTCCCACATGAAGGATGTGAATTTCAGGGGGGAATCATGGGATGAAAATATTACCGAAAATATTACCCATATATCTTATAATCCTGATTTAGAGGTGGTCTGCACACTCTTACTTTGAAATAGATGCTCAGCTTTACTGGATGGCTTTAATGTATATTGTAATAACATTCGGTGCATGGATTTAACACAGGAAGTTTGGTCCCGAAACACTGCATAACATGAGGGTAACATGAGCTTACTTTATGGGACACCTGTACTGAGGTAACATATGTGAGGTGCTCTAAGTGCCCTAAAGGTGTTATATAATGGTAACCATTATTCTTACCAGTTAGAGATCTGTCAATCAAATGAGATATTAAATATAAAAAGGGCTTTGTCCAAATGGGACCAGCTTTACCCTTCGTGAGGGGTAGAGGGAAGCATTTCCTCTCACCTTTAGAGTATCTCATGGCTGGTCCAAGACATTTGGGTGTCTGAAGTGGAACAGCCCACCAAACTCAACACACAGGAGCCGAAGCCAGCTAACTTGTTTTGGCTCTGGAGCCAGAACACTCTACAAGTACTTCTGCTATACCTGAGATAAAAATATAGTAACAATATACAAAGCAACTAACCAGCGGAGACCATCACCTCGCTCTGTTTCAGGGTAGGGCCTATAATCCAACCATGCTGCAATACATTTCTTCGTTGCTTTGAGGATAAAATCTGGAGCCTGGGTGCAACAGTTAGTGCAGATTGGGTAAGGGACACACCAGAGCACTATGCTGTGATCATGGGGTGAATTGCAGTAGCCATAGGCTGTGCAAGTGGACAAAACTCATGAGAAGTATCAGGTGTGTTATATATCCACATGAGCACTTGATAGAAAAGGTCTATTTGGCTGGGTCCAGCTCACGCTAAATATTTCCTGGTGAGAGAAGTTTCTTACAGTTGTCCTGGAAGAGATGACTGTGAAACCACTCCTGCAAAAGTCTTTCCTGTGCCCCAGAGATTATGCAGTCTTCACCAACTGCAATTGGCCAAAAAGTGGGGATGATGGGAGTTGTAGTTCAAAACAACAGGTTGGTGACGGTTGGGTTACAGTTACCATTGGCTGATGGCAAGTATCGCCTCCTTGGGCAAGATGACTACATGGCTAGCCGCTGTTCAATCCCAGACACTTTTTGATAGGGCTTTTGGGATGCCAAGAAAAGGAGTTGTTGTTGTTGTTGTTATGTTCTTCAAGTCGTCCTTTTGACTCACGCTGACCCTATGAATAAGTGATCTCCAAAATGTCCCATCTTCAACAGCTCTGCTCAGTTCTTCTAAACTCAAGCCTGTGGCTTCCTTTAGGGAGCCAGTTCATTTCATATTTGGCCTTCCTCATTTCCTGCTGCCTTCAAACTTTCTCAGCATTATAGTCTTTTCCAGAGAATTATGTCTTCTCATGATGTGCCTCAGTTTCAACATTTTTGCTTTCAGAATAGCTCAGGCTTGATTTGATCCAGGATCCACTTTCTGACAATCAAGGGTATCCACAAAACTCTCCTCACAACAATCAGTTTCTGTTTTTGCACATGTAGGGTGACGCACATCAGAGTAGCTTCCATCCCAAAAATGAGTTAGAAAAAATTAAATTTCAGATCTGTTGCCTAAAATTTATTCTCCCCCTCCTCTATACCTTATGAGTCATGTCTTTTAGACTTTTAGCCTGAGGGCCTAATCTCTGCTGATATTTGTGAACTGTTCTGGGATTGTTTTCAGTTAAACAGTGAGGTAAAAGTGTGTTACACAAATATACAAGCAAACAAACAACATTTTGGGGAGCTTTTGTTATGTGTACATGTATGTGTATCTATGTGTGTGCATGTGCACTGAGAGACAAAAATATCACACCATCATCCTACCACTGTGGAGAACCATAACCTTTTAATATTGTGGATTGATAAATCTGCTCCAGTTTGACATAAGAGGCATGCTCTGTCCATGCCACTCCTCGCTTTTCTAAATGACCAGTATCTGAAAATAGAGAACATTTTGTGAAGGAATGAATTTTAATTCACAATAAAAACTATAACACATTTTCCTCTAGCAATCAATAGCATACTAATGCTAAAACCAATTGGTTTTAACAGAATTTATTTTGCTTGTCCTGATAACAATTATTCAGCAATTTTAAACGATCTTATTTCTGTCTGTTTAATTGAATTGTAATAGAGAAATAAATAGGGAGAGATACCCAGTATGGTTTAGTGAAGTGGCTGACTGGGACTCAGGAAACTATAGTGGCCGTGGAAAGCTGGGAGCGGGCAGGGGAAAGGTGAAACTGGTAGAACCACTCTTTAAAATATCTCACTTATTTTGAAAGCCCTATTAGGGTTGCTGTAAGTCCTGACTTGATAGCACATAACAACAATAACATAAATGGAGAGAGATGTGAAGACGTGGGGGTAACATCTACTTTATCCATGTTTGTGTATATATGTGTGTGTCCCTATGCAAGTGTGTATACATACAAAAGGTTCCACTTTTGTCATCCTCTACAGCACTCATTGGACTTTCACATTTCTGGCGACAGGCCTTTTCTTAAAGCAGTGAGAACTGCTGAGACTCTGTAGATGTGGTTGTAATTTATCAGACTCAAACAGTCCCCGCCCCCCGTTTTTTTTCCTTCCAGACTGATGCTAGGATCAGTCCATCAGGTCCCTTTACCTATCTGGGCTTTTTAATGTGTGTCTCTCCCCCACTCAAAGGCATCCACCTGGACCTCTTTTTAACAATGTTATGACTAAAGAAATCTATGCTGGGTTCCTTGGCCCCAGAGGGGGAAAAAGCAGGTGGTGAAAAGGGCTCTCCACACCCCTGGCCAACCTGTGCAAAGGCAAAAATGTAAAATGCTGTTATCCAAAGCATCTCAGCCTCGGCCAATTGGAGGACACCACACCCTGTACACACCCACCTGGCCAGCAGGTCCATAAAAAGAAAGAGATGGCCCTTGCACTCCAGAACAGGAACAGACTTCTGCAGGACAGAGACCTCTTTTTTCCCTTCTTTCTTTCTTTCTCTCTTTGTGCTTCTGCCATTCTATCCATCTTTTTTTTTTTTGGATTGACCAATCATGCTTTTCTGGCACAGCCAACCTGACCATTACTGGCCAAGCCCAGGCGAAATGTATCCTTGCTCTGGCAGCAATCTGTTAAGGTGAGAGGCCTTCTTTTATATATGTCTTGCCCTTCCTGCAAATTAGAGAGACTTGGAAAAAGGCCAGGTTCCCAGAGAGGCCTAGCATTGTTTGGGAAAGGATGTATAGAACAAGGGTGCAATCAGAAGGTTGCTTGCATCTGAATTTGAAATGGCGTTTCAGAACATTGAGGGCATGGTCTAGTTGCCTCTGTTTGCCGGTGGCCAGATGATATAGATGAGATTGTGAACCAGTCCAACCCTATTCCGTGACCAGTTTGGACCTTTCTGATCGAGCAGTAGGGTTGCTCTTTTTTTGGAACAGGCTTGAATATTTGGGATCGGATCACATTTGGATGGGAGGGTCGCTGTAAAAAAGTTGTTTTCAACATTGCACTCAGCAAGTGAAACTTCCCAATATGATATTTATGTTACAGCTGCATTGCACCAATACGCCAGTTCTTCCAGCAGCAGCTACATATCTTGCTTGGAACATAAACGGTGTCTTTCTGGCTCAGCACAAGGTTCATCAGGTCTAGCATTCTGATTCTTCTAAGAAGAGTTTGGAAAAATTACCCTTTTGGATTACAGCACCCCAGCTTTTTTGGGGAGTTGTAGTCCAAAAGAGTTGTTTTCTCAAGCTCTGTACCAGCAGCCACTTGAGACAACTCTTGAGGTTCACAAGCAAAGTATAATGGTGATGGGCTAGACTTGTGTGTCCACCGGTCTGCTCTTATTGCTTTCGAACAGGGATGCTCCAATTTGTTTTCCTGGTTGTTACCCATCACAGAACTTCTCCTTAAAGAATTTGCACCATCAACTGAAAGTCATGTCTTCTTGTATCATCACTCTGCCTTGTCACATCAAGTTCTCTGAATATATTAAGAAAATTAAATCTGTGGCATTGAATAACAGTGAGATCCAGCTGCGCTAGGATGCTTTAAGATCTGATGGGTCTTCCATGCTTCCCTTCTTGATTCCACCCAGTCATCCTCTTTCAGGAACATCTCTCACCTGTAACATTTCTTTTGTTACTCAAAGAGCTTCACGTTTTATTTCTCTCTTTTGCCTCTCCTGTTTTCTCCACTCCAGCATCTTTGGCTTCAACACCTTTAATGGGTCTGTAGAACAGGGAACCCTGCATTTGCTACAATTGGAGCAGATGTCCTTCTTTGCATTTGGCCCATTTTGTGTCATGAACTGACAGTCCCCTTTGTATCCTGCTTCATGGTCTTTATCTCTGTCTTCTGCCTGCTGCTTGCTGTGCCTGGAGCACTTTTTTCCGCCAGTTTGTGTCCCTCTCAACACCCGCGTTCAAGCACCAAAACCATCCTTGAAGTGTACACAGTTCACCCTACCAGCACGATTCTATCCTGAATATACTTGGGAAGTCCTGAGCAAGGCTTTTGAAAGGCAGGTGTGCAGCTACCGCAGAACCTGGTGTGTGAAATGGCCCATTTTATTATTGAGAGTTGAAGGTCAGCAATGCAACATGCAGGGAGGCTGAGCTGTTTTTGTAAAGTACACGAGGCATCAAGGCATTGACTTCCCCAAAGCCATCGAGTGTGCAATATGGCTAAATATAGAAGATGTTTTCAAAGGTCTTCTTTTGTAGTGTCTTTTTATAATGGGGTTTAAAGAGTCTTTTTATAATCAGCAATGGTGGGTGAACTAGGTCCTGTGTTGGCATTTATCTGATATTTTGTGCAGAGCTGGGAAAATTTGCTTTTTGAGTCTACAGCGCTCAGAATACTCCAACCAGCCCGACCAGTGCTTCCATTAGATAGGAAGATTCTGGCTAGGCAATTCTGGGAGCTACAGCGCACAAAAGTAACTTTTTTCCAGACTCTCATATTGTGATGGGAATTCCCTCTTGAGCAACAGGCATGTAAGCTTTCTTAATCTGAAAAACAGCTGGCTCTCTACCCTTTCCTTCAGAACTCATGTAGGTTTAGCCTGGCAGCAGGCAGGCACAATAATACATTTTGCAGTCTAGTGACATTTGCGTATTTATTTGTGAAGTGGGCATGAATGTTCTTGATGTGGAACAGAAAGTGAATGAGAACTACTTTAACATGAAATGTGTGCTCTGTCCAAGACCAGGGATTGCTCCTGCCAGTAGCCAAGCGGCCTGGGGGATTTTGGAAGTTGTAGTCCAAGAAGGAATATTCTCATACTTTGCCTCTTAAGACTGGACAGCATAGTTTTGCATAATCATCCAGCATCCAAGGGACCAAAGGCTGCCGGCAGACAGCATCTCCTGTCTCCCAGGAAGAACATCAAGGCAACTGAGAGAACCTTTGAGTCTCCCAAACATCAACCAGTAAAGGAACATCTGGTCCCGTGTTTACTTTCCTTTTCACTCTTCACTCCTTTCTCCTTTTTTTTATTGTGTCTCTTGGATTGTGAACCTGCGAAACAGGGACTGTCTGTCAATATCTGTCTAGCATTTAGAAGACCCTGGACACTTTATATGTAGTGGTCATGATGGTGGTGAAGGCAGTGGTGATGATATTGATGAACTTACATGTTGCAATTCAGTTGCCATAGATAACTGCCTATTTGCATGTCTCTTCCTTCATGGATGGGCAAAAGAATGTTATAACCTCACTTGTGCCTAAGCCAGGTGTCACTTGGGAACACAGCCTCAGTCTCCTCTGTCCACACCTTCTCTTGCTACCTGCAGGGAGCCCTTGGCGTTGCCGTTCCTGAAACAAGAGGAACCAAACAGTATTTCAACCTCAGCCGAACAACACTGTCCATCTTTCCAGTACATCCTGTGTGCAGCTACTTCTCCGGCTGTGAAACAGCATGAGGAGACCCTCACCTATCTCAACCAAGGTAAGGGAGGAAGACGGATCAAGGCTTGCCTCCATATTACCCCCTAGTGGTGCATATAAGGCATATTCGCTAGGCTGCATAAATTAGATGTATTATGGCTTCAAAACATGTCTCCAAAAAAGGTGAGGCTGTGTTGACCCATAGGAGAAACACGAAATCCAAATGCCAAAATCTACAGGTGGACAAGACCTTTATTAGTATATAAACTGTAAATGGATGAAATCCCACGCTTTTGAGCAGTACTGTATAAAGGTAAAGGTAAAGGTTCCCCTTGACAATTTTTGTCCAGTCGTGTTCGACTCTAGGGGGGGCAGTGCTCATCCCTGTTTCCAAGCCATAGAGCCAGCGTTTTGTCCGAAGACAATCTTCCGTGGTCACATGGCCAGTGCGACTTAGACATGGAACGCTGTTACCTTCCCACTGAGGTGGTCCCTATTTATCTACTTGCATTTGCATGCTTTCGAACCGCTAGGTTGGCGGGAGCTGGGACAAGTGACGGGCGCTCACTCCGTCACGTGGATTCGATCTTACGACTGCTTGGTCTTCTGACCCTGTAGCACAGGCTTCTGCGGTTTAGCCCACAGCGCCTCCACGTCCCCTTTGAGCAGTATGGAAGTCTTCTAAATAGTCAAACATAAGGGAGCAGAGAAAAGACGTGGAAGCCCAAATCTATGGCCTGGTGTTTCAAACCATGGAGAAGCGGCGTGGAGTGAGGTTTAGGAATCCCAAATTGGAAAGTTGGGCTTGATGGGTCTGGTGGTCATGCAGGTATCGCTGGCACTGGGGATGGGACAAGAGAGAAACAACGACAGCAACATGCATCTGCCACGAGCAGGCTTCTCCGTCGGCCTTTGCAGGTCTATGAAGGCACAGTCCTTGTATAGCAGGAAACTCTTCAAAATGCACATTTAGATGGTAACAATATTAAGATTAGACAAAAACAATGACAGCAACATGCATCTGCCACGAGCAGGCTTCTCCGTAGGCCTTTGCAGGTCTGAGAAGGCACAGTCCTTGTATAGCCGGAAAACCATCTAAATGCACATTTAGATGGTAACAATATTAAGATTAAAAAGAAAAACCTAGGCAAACATGTGCAGTTCAGGAGGATGCCATGTACCCAGAAAAAAAGCCAAGAGGTTTCAGGGGTGGACGTTTCCTAACATTTCAATAGGCATCACAATAGAACTGAAGTAAACATTTAAAAATTCCATATATCAAGTCAAGTTCAAGTTTATTGTATTAGCTAAAAGCCATCACAATGGTTTAAAATACAAATATGATCAAATAAAATCGTGATAAAATCACAGACATATAAAATAATAAGAGACCCTTCATATCGGGGAGTCCCCTGCACAATTGATCGCGATGGCTTTCAGGAAATTAGCTCTAATATTTCTGACCGCTTTTGCAAACAGCATTGTTCTGTATGTAACATAAGGGTCACAGTCCAAAAGTAACCTGACCACCTTTACCTGCAGCCTTTCCTCCTGTAGAGCAGCCAAAATGTTACCTATGAGCTTTTCTCTGGGGTTTTGATAGAGCTGACAGTAGAGTAAATACTGGACAACATCCTCTATCTCACCTGCCCCGTAAATACATAGCTTTAGATGTTTAGCGACATTCATATACCTGCCTTCTAAGACAGCGGTTGGCATGGTTTGGAAATGGAGTTCTGTGAATGCGGTTCTCAAGGAGGAGAAATTCCATATATCTAAAAACATTGCCACTTGGAGTTCAGTATCAAGATTTGATCCAGATATTTGATGCTCAATTCCACCGCCACATTTTTTTACATTAATATTCAAGTCCCGTTAATTGGAACAGGGCTTATTCCCAGGTCACTGAGTATAGGATTCACCCTATAGATGATATAGATACCAATGGTTCTGAACCTCGGGTCCCTAAATATTCTTGGACTAAAATTCCCAGAAGCTTTCACCACTAGCTGTGCTGATCAGGATTTCTGGGATTTGTAGTCCAAGAACATATGGGGACCCAGGGTTGGGAATCACTGATCTAGATATATTCAATTACTGGGACAAAAATGAATACCAAAGATACTGATAGCAGTTCTCATTTTATGCAAAGCAAACAAAATAATTGGCCTTCTCTATTTATTTTGTTAATGCTAATGTTCTTTTACTCAAAGAAAAAGAATGAAAACGTGGTAATTTAAGTCTGGAATTTGATTCATACTTATTCGGGAGTGTCAAATGAAGTACCTTTGTTAGTCTTGCCAACGTTTATCTGAAGAAGTGGATTGTGATCCTCAAAAGCTCACACTGAAGTAAATCAGCTAATCTGTACACTGCGCTGCTTCTCTAGTTTTTATTTTTTGTTATTTGCCACATGTCCCTTAAATCTGCATAAAGATGCCTAAGATCATGCTGTACAAGCATTCATTTCAGAATAACCTGTTTATTTGCTCTATTCATTTGATGAACAAACCATTTCATAAAAGTTCAATTCCTTCCTTGCTTTCTACCAGCTGTTCAGGCAGCCCTACAAATGACTTACAGTGTAAGCTGATACAAATCTTCTTGTTATTGTTATGTTCCATCAAGTTGTCTCTAGCTTATGGCAACTGATAAATGATCTCTGAAATGTGCTATCCTCAACAGCTCTGCTCAACTCCTGTAAATTCAAACCTGTGCTTTCCTTTAGAAAGTCAATCCATTTCAGTTAGTCTTCTTTTTTTCCTGCTACCTTCAATCTTTCTCAGAATTATTGTCTTTTCCAGAGAATCCTGCCTTCGCATAATATGCCCAAAGTAGGACAGCTTCAGTTTCATAATTTTTTTGCCTCCAGAGATAGTTCAGACTTAAGTTGCTCTAGCTCCCACCTATTCATCTTTTTGGCAGTCCAGAGTATCCAGCACTACATTTCAAATGATTCAGGTTTTTCCCCTCTCAGCTTTTTTTACTGTCCAGCTTTCACATCCACACATAGTGATGATAAATGCATGAGTGTGGATGGACTTGGCCTTAGTTTCTAGGGACACATCCTACAGATTGAACATATAAGGGGATAAAATGCACCCTTATCTGCCTCCTTCGTCTATAGGAAACCATTCTGTATCTCCATATTCTGTCTTAACAGTAATTTCTTGTCCACAATAACATATTGGGACGATCAAGTACTGAGACACATACATTTCTTTCAGAACAATCCATAGTTTCTCATGAGCCACACAGTCAAAGACTTTGCTGTAATCTATAGAACCTAGGATAGTAGCCAACAGATATTTGTAATATGATCTCAAGTGCTTCTTCCCTTTTGGAATCCAGCTTGAACATCAGGCATTCCTCAGTCCTTATAAGATAAAAGCCTTTGTTGCAATCTCTTGAGCATCATTTTGCTTGCATGGGAAATTAAAGTAATGGTCCTATAGTTAGTGCACTTCTTGGCATCTCCTTTCTTGCGGACAGGAATGTATATTGAAAATTTCCAGTCTGTGAGCCATTGTTTTCTTTTCTATATTTGTTGGCATATTCTTATTAGGATTTTGACAGATTCAGCCTCTGTGATTTGAAATAGTTCTATCAGTATCCCATCTAACCTGGTGATTTATTTCTTCCTAGTTCTTTCAGAGCAGCTTTCACTTATTTTACTAGAGTGGTAGGTTCTTTGTCCTAGGATTCCTCTTCAAAAGAGTCTGTCATCTTTTTATTTGTTATCTACAAGTTTTCAGTATATTGTTTCCATCGTCTCTATAATTTCTCCTGGCTGGATAGTGTGCTTCCCTGTTTGTCATTCAACATTCCTCATCTACACTTAAATTTTTCTTTGGTTTCATGGACCTTCTGGAAGAGATCTCGCATTTTTACTCTTTTCTTGTTTTAGTCTATTTCTTTGCACTGGTTGTAATATTACCTCTTTTTGTCTATATGTGACAGTCACTGAAAAGGGTTCTGACCCTATTTCTGTCACCTTTTACTTTTGTTTCTTGCCTGTCCTTTACAATTTTAAGTGTTCCCTTGCACTTCCATCTAGGTTTTTCTTTTCTTATTCCTACAAGAATTGTAATTTTGCATTCTTGCCTAATAATATCTGCGGCTCAATACACAGTTCTTCTTGTCAATTGAGTTTAGAAATGCAAATCAGTTCCTTGTTTGGACTTTAAATTCATCCGGAATTTTACTTATATTTCCACCAGGAAAGCAGAAGGTTTAGAGGTATTCCACTCTCACTGTAAGGAATTAAGATCAAGTGATTCAATAAATCCATGAAAAACAGTTTAATTAATGAGGCTGTTTAATGAATACAGATGTTTAATAAATGTAGAAGAAGCAATTGTCCCTCTTGAGGTTTTTATTATGATATAACACAGAGCAATGGCCCATGGTCTCAGCAGAGAAAACATGCTCTGAAATCATGGGCTGAAAGATCCTCCTCTAACTGCAACATGGGTCAGTGCTGGGGGGGTAGTATGTTCATGATTTTATGCTGCTATTTTGTGTGCACTCTCTTATTCCTTTTTGAACACATATACACTGTTCCTTAGATAACCACTTCATGTGACTAAAAATGGGAGCAGTGGTAGCACATAACAACTTATGCCAGAACTAGATAACATGTTGCTCCCACCCATTGTTGAATTATATTTCCCATGATCCTCTGTCACTTTCTGTGTTGGCGGGGCTCATGGAAGTTGTACCCCAACAACATCTGGAAGGGGAGAGTTGCTGAAAAAATTTTTTTAATGAAAAATGAGTTGATCTCTTGTGCTGATTGTAGATGCACAGAGAGACAAGGTGATGTTTTCAGAGGCCTCCAGTTCCTCACAGCAAATAATTCCAGATATATTGTAGCTTCAGCTGTCTGCCTCTCTCGCCTGGCATTGCCAACCCACCATTGGGTGGTCTTCTCACTAGCTAGATTGCATGCTTTCCCCTCAGAAGTTACCAATGGGAGCTATAAAAATATACCTATGGCAGAGAGGGTCTGCTGTTGTGGTGAGAGCACAGGGGAATCAACAACACACATTAAGTTACAATGCTGGTTCTGTCATGAATCTTGTGTTAAAATTATTCTCCCTGGTATTCTCCGGCAACCAGGTGAGGAGTACAAAGAAAAGTGTGTTATGCCTACAGTCAAGCATTGTGGTGGGAGTGTCATGGTCTGGGGCTGCATGAGTTCTGACGGCACTGGGGAGCTACAATTCATTGAGGGAACCATGAATGCCAAACTGTACTGTGACATACTGAAGGAGAGCATGATCCCTTCCCTTTGGAGACTGGGCCGCAGGGCAGTATTCCAACATGATAACGACCCCAAACACACCTCCCAAACGACCACTGCCTTGCTAAAGAAACTGAGGGTAAAGGTGATGGACTGGCCAAGCATGTCTCTAGACCTAAACCCTACTGAGCATCTGTGGGGCATCCTGAAATGGAAGGTGGAGGTGCGCAAGGTTTCTAACAGCCACAGCTCTGTGATGTCGTCATGGAGGAGTGGAAGAGGACTCCAGTGACAACCTTTGAAGCTCTGGTGAACTCTATGCCCAAGAGGGTTAAGGCAGTGCTGGAAAATAATGGTGGCCACACGAAATATTGACACTTTGTGCTCAATTTGGACATTGTCACTTAGGGGTGTACTCACTTTTGTTGCTAGCAGTTTAGACATTAATGCTGTGTGTTGCGTTATTTTGAGGGGACAGCACATTTACACTGTTATACAAGCTGTATACTCACTGCTTTACATTGTAGCCAAGTGTCATTTCTTCAGTGTTGTCACATGAAAAGATATACTAAAATATTTATGAAATGTGAGGTGGTGTACTCACTTCTGTGATATACTGTACTTTTGTTGTACTGATACATTTTTTCCAGCAGTCACGTGACATACATATTAGCAGGAGTGTTCCCATTGTTTTTAACTGCATGAATTAATTTATTTCTATTTGGACTGTTATAACAGGCTACACTGCTCTTTCTCTACTATTTCTTGGGGGAATCAACCCCCCGTCCTTTTTAAAAAAATAATAAAAATGATATATTAGTAGAATAATAAAGCGGTACAAGCCTTTTCTCCTCCTCCCCTTTTCTCTTCCCTCCTTTATTCACTTGTCTCCTTTCCCTTATTTCATTGCATATCTCTCCCTCTAAGTTCTCAGATTTCATTTTTCTTTTCCCTTTTGCACAGTGTCAGGGGGAGAAAGCAGGTTCACCCTTCCTGCGAGGGGGAAATAAACTGATTGCCAGGGCAAATGAATCGATGTTGGTCATGTGTCATCTGGCCAAAAAATTATGAAATGATCTTTCAAAACAACCTAATAGGTATAACTGCTATTCTTTTGGCAGGTATGGGCAAGCCTTTAGAGTTGCGGCTGTCTTATAAATTCAATCTATATTATGCTCAATGTCTTCTGCTGGTCATGGACCATAATAATAAAAAACTGAAACTGATAGTGGATGCTATGTTATGCACACTTATTCATAAGCATTTCGTACTAGGACTTACTTCTGATTGAACATAAATAGGTTGTCATTCCTGTGCAGTTTTTAAAAGTATGTTTGCCACCATTTACTTCACTTTTGGATTACAGGGAGCGCTAATGGTCTTCTGAACTTTGTTTCATCCAAAGACAGCCCACCCTCTTTTTTTTACTTACTTACTTTTATTAGATTTTTACCCCACCCCCCCAGACAAAGTCGACTCAGGGCGGCTTACATACATGATAAAAACATCACAATAACAAATTTCATAAAACATTTAAAACAGCAGATTTTAACATTTATGTAAATCATTGCCAAGATGAGATTGTTAAAACGAAAGAATAAAGACCAGTTAATTGACTGGAGGGAAGGCCTGCCTAAAGAGCCACGTTTTTAAATGACTTTTAAAAACACCCAGCGAGGGTGCCAGATGGATTTCTGTTAGGAGGCTGTTCCATAGCTGAGGGGCCACTGCCGAGAAGGCCCAGTTTCTTGTTCTTTCTTTCCGGGCCTCTCTCGGCGTTAGGCCCCTCAGCCATCCCTGCTGGCTATGTCGGGTGATTTGGGTAGTTCTAGGTGGGAGAAGACGATCTGCCAAGTATCAAGGTCCCAAACTGTTTAGGGCTTTGTACATCATCATTAGCACTTTGAAGTCAATGCGGAAACGAATGGGCAGCCAATGCAAAGCAGCCAGAGTGGGGAAGATACAGTATGCTGATATTTCCTCACCCCACTAAGAAGCCTGGCTACCGCCTTCTGCACCATTTGAAGTTTCCGCATCACTCTCAAAGGCAGCCCCACGTAGAGTGCGTTACAATGGTCCAATCTTGAGATTATGAGCGCATGGACCAGAGTAGTCAGCCCCCCCCCATCAAGATACGATCACAGCTGGGCAATCCGCCATAGAGGAAAATAATAGGCAGAGCGGGCCACCTGGGTTTCCATGGTAAGTGCCGGGTCCAGATGTATCACCAAGCTGTGGACCTCGCTCTTTGCGGTAAGAGTTGTCCCCCCAAAAGAGAGGGAGTCACCCAAACTGCTAATGGAGGAACCATCCACCCTCAAGACCTCTGTCTTGTCCGGGTTCTTCCCTTACTCTGAATTTCAGCTGAGTGAGCCTCTGCCATGTGCATGAGCCTGCCCATGCAGGATATGGCACAGATTGGCTTTTGACAAGCCAATCTTGAGCAAATCTTTTGAGCAAATGCTCAAAATGATGTTTCAAAGAGAATGCACTATAGAATACCTGTTTATCAATGCACTATAGAATACAGTACCTGTTTATCAAAAGGCGTTCCTTGTGAACAAAGCATGACATTTCTGCATCCTAATTATTTTCTGTTCCTTCCCTTACTCTGAATTTCAGCTGAGTGAGCCTCTGCCATGTGCATGAGCCTGCCCATGCAGGATATGGCACAGATTGGCTTTTGACAAGCCAATCTTGAGCAAATCTTTTGAGCAAATGCTCAAAATGATGTTTCAAAGAGAATGCACTATAGAATACCTGTTTATCAAAAGGAGTTCCTTGTGAACAAAGCATGGCATTTCTGCATCCTAATTATTTTCTGTTCCAGACAGAAAGGGCATGTTTGGCACAGTTATGTTGCAGTGTTACCTGAAATTTGGGGGCAAACATACCCCCACCAGAATTCTGAGAAAAACTCCTAATATTTCAGACAGTTTCCCCCTGCCACAGATTTTCACCAGGTAATAACCCTTAGCATTCATACAGAACTTTCCCAAGGTGTTAATGTGTCCCAGATATATGCATGATCTCAGAAATCCTGACCTTTGCTATAACTATAAAAATCCCCATACTACAAATTGGGGGGGATGCTTTGCATATAATCAAGAAGTCAGCAAAAGAGCTGGGATGAGATGTGAATGGGGCCATTCCTAGCTTTTTCTCTTAACACTACAGTAAGTGAACCGTGTACAGCAAGGTTCATGCTGTGGCGTAACAGAGGAAGGCCAAATGAGGGTGCAGCTCTAGGGCATCCATTTTTTTCCACTGTAGGAGCAATGACATTATCTGATGAAGTACTAGAGTGATAGATGAACCCACTGCTCTGTGGCAAGGGAATATGATTATAACAAGAATCCTTCAGCACCTTAAGGAGTAACGCATTTATTACAGCATAAACCTTTGTGGGTTATAGCTCATGTGATCAGATGCATTGAGTGTTACCCAGATTTTTATGTATGCATGTATATCTATACAGTATGTACACAGGAGGTGGGATTGTATAACGTGAGATTACAGAGAAATTAAAGACAGGAAAAAATAACAGTGACAGGTATATTGTTAAAGCCAGCCATTTGCAAAACTAGTTGCCGATTTAACTGGATTATAGTCCACAATATAAGAACACACGTGACCTGTATTCTGTTTTCTTTTGCTTGTGGAAATGTTTACAAACCAGACGGCAAAAGAGCTGAACAGAAATCACAGGTCATAAATTACTGCAAATGTGAGATGCAACCGTACACCACTAACTCTCAAAACTGGCATGAATGTTTTGCTTGTGAAGTCCCTATTTTACTGTATGTCTGAAGGAGTGGACTTGTTCATGAAAGTTCACAATGAAATATAACAGTTAGTCTTTAAGGTGCTACAGATTTTTGTCTTTTTTATTTTATTTAATGTTATAATTATTATTTTCCTTTGGGCTCTGCATGAAAAAAATAGTCCACAAAAGTGAGTCTGTTGTGTGCGATGGAACTCTTGGTTGGTTTTGCTTCAAGTCAAGGCTTCCAAGGTGTTAGTAATTAATATGTTAGCATTTGAACCAGTCTTCCCTGACCTGCTGCCCTGTAGATACATTTGACTACGGCACCATCATCCTCAGTCAATCTGGCCATGATGACTGGGGATGATGGGGTTTGTAGCCCAAAACTTTGTAGGAGAGCAGGATGGAGAAGTCTTGTTCAAATGCCAACACTTCTTTTGAAGACTGTTCATCTTAATAGAAGCCATAGATTGCATTTAAGCTGATGGAAGGTGATTGGTGAAAGGGCAACATATTTGATCAGTTGATCTTAGATATACCAGGAAGCAAACACCTTGGGGGTTCAGTAGAACTCACTCCCACCTATTCTGCACAGTCGTGCTCTGTAAATGTGAGGGAAGTTATTAGTTGTTGGATATTTTTTCAAACAGGTTTTAAATAGATTGTTAGTGCCTCCACTGAAGGAAGGATGGACGACAAAGGTCTTGTGTCACCTTCGTACTGAACACCTTTTACTTGGCATAGGTTTTTGCAGACTGTGTCTCACTCTCTCTTCTCCATTCTCCTAGCACACTCTCCTCCTCTACATTCATGTGTCTCCTCTTCTGGGAGTATGGATGATGGATCCCCCTTGGGGATGTGGTTATGGATAGTGTCACACAGAGCTCCAGCTTTTGAAAAATTGCCATCATAGCAGTAAGCTCAGAAAGTCTGCTAATGTAAATGTAACTGAAGAGTTTGGTTTGATATTTTGTATTTTCAACATGCTTTTCACTCACCAGCCTCCCATTCCTGACTCAGTCTTCTTTTTCCCCCAGGGCAATCATATGAAATCCGCATGCTGTGTAACCCCAAGATGGGAGAATTTTCAGAGGGGCGCAGGCTGCTGAAGGTGAGGGACCAGAAGGGAGAAGGGACGGATGTTTTTAAAGATATGCGGTACCCAAGATGCTTTGTCTCACACTGTATGGACACAGTGCATGGACACAGAATATTGCAAAAACTGATCCAATAATGACATAGATTATGGATCCAACCACTAGTCACAACTACCAGCTGGATAGTTTATTTCTTCTGAAGAATTAAAACTCTGACTGGTATGAGCAGAACAAGGAAATTACCATCATGCTTTACATATGGAATCTGTGGATAAAAGCTAAGGATGGTAAAACACTATTCTGACCTCCTAAAGACTCTCATAGTTAAGGAGGAGTAGCTATAGTACTAGTGATAATATAAAAGTGAATAATAGTGTTTGTATTGTGCTATTAAGGTTCAAATAACTTCAAATGTTACCACAGCTATCCTTACCATAGGCTTATAATATACGTAGGCTGCTATTATTGTCCTATGGTAAGTGTATAGGCTTATAATATAGGCTGCTATTATTGTCCTATGGTAAGTGGCTTTGTGTGTTTGTGCATTAATGTGGATGTGCAAGTTTAAAGAATAATTTGTTGCAGAGTTTTGCACTTGTTGTTAAATTCCTCTAGCTGTGCTGTGGAGGAGCAAAGGTTCTCAGAGCTGAATAGCATCAAGTTCCCCAGGCAGTCCACCCCTTTCTCATTAACTAACACTTACAATCTCAGTAAATCACACTGAGACAATAGTAGTACAATCAACAGCTGACTGCTTCAGCAGACTAAAGAGAGGGGAAAAGAACCAGAGCAGAGAGATGGGGCTCTCTTTGAATTCAGAGGTAGGAGGGAATGATTGGTTAGTGCTGGATAGACTGACAGTCATCCCAGCCAAACCTGCTAAAGACAGCATGTGAGATTGTAAAAACTCTTAACAGAATCCCCTCACATAAAGCCATTTACTGAATATGTATGTGAGGTAGGGTCTGAACTGTCAGCCTCACAGCTTACAGCTTTCTCGTGTTTTCTCAATACCACTTTGGTTTGTGTAGAACTTCAGAACGTTTTGTTTTTTTTTTCAGACTGCAACATTCTTTCTGTAGTCAGGATGAGGGTTTCTTGGGACTTTAACCCCCCCAAAAGGAACTTTTCTAGGTTCTGCTGCATGAGGATGAAACTGGACGGAGATCTGTACTAGGGTTTGATTTGCTCTGGCAATGAGCTGATTCATTCCTTTTCTGAGTGACTACACAACATCTGTGACATCACAAACCAGCCTGTACAAGCATCTTTTTTGGGTCCCTGCCAGGAGCTATTTTGTGTATGGGCAGGATCACTCCATCCTGGTTCAGTTCCCCAGCATGTGCAATTCCTGGTATCGAACCACAGCCAAGGGCTTACGGCTGCCGTGCTTAAGCCACTTGATGGTATTGAGAAATTGAAAGCTTCCTCCCGCTCCTTAGTGGAGGGGGAGGGAGAGGAAGCAAAGTTGTTGTTTTAAAGCCCTGTAAGGCAGCACTGATGTGCTCTGCCTTTTAGTTTTTAAAAAAAATTAAAACTGAAAGTTTCCTTCAAAAAAGGAGGAGGAGAAGACAGGGTGGGACAAGAAGGGGGGAAATCTCCTCTCCTTGCTCTTCATTCTCTGAACATTTTGGCCTGTGAGAAACTTAACAAACAACAGTTCAAAGCAGCATTGGGCAATGTCCAGAGCAGTTGCTGGAGTGGATGAGAGGGCTGAGCAAGCTGATACTCAGACCTTTGAAGGTTGCGTCTTTGTCTTTTCCGTTAGCTCCCAGCACCACCTTTTTTGACTGGAAACAACCCCTGACCCCCTCTAGGAGCAGTTAAAAATAAATAAATATTAGGGTGTATGCTGAGAGAGAAAAATTACCTCCCCACACCCCTTAAAGATCAGAAGGGCCCCCAATGAGCAATTTTTAAAAAGGGGTGTGGTTTTTTAAAAAAAGCTTTTTTTTGGATATTTGATCAGGCGGGATGTCACATTTGAGCATGGGGGGGGCTGCATATGGCCAACACAATGCATTTTTGTCCATCCCTGGGTTTAAGCAATCCCTTTTTAAAGGTGTCTAGGCCAGATGTCATCACCACATCCTGTGGCAAGGGGTTCCTGTTGGCATGGGGCCAAAACTTTAGAGGCTTAACGAGGCTCTGGCCTCAAGAAAACTTCTTACAAGTCCGGTTGAATGTGAAGCTTGGCAAGAGCACTCTGTTTAAAAGACAAGCCTTGAAAACTAAGGACACTAGTTATACAGAGCCTCTTATCAAACTGCTTCCATTCTTCCCACTTAAATATAGCTAAGTAAGAGACTTAGAGCTTTAGACGTGGGGTGAAAACAGCATGAGAGAGTTCTTTGTGATTGCAATATAGTATATTGGCTATGGCTACATATATATACATGGCAATATACATTTAGCGTAACAACATTCAGAACAGTAATGACATAGAAACAAATGACCACCAGACTTACTGCTGAATGGCAAAGATCTGTTCTGTCTCTGTTACATTTATACCCAGAACAACCAATCACATTTCACCATTTACAAGGCAATATACATTTGGCATAACAACATTCAAAGCAGTAATAACATAGAAACAAATGACCACCAGACTTACTGCTGAATGGCAAAGATCTGTTCTGTCTCTATTAATTTATACCCAGAGCAACCAATCACATTTCACCATTTACAGCTGGTCTTGCTTAACAATCAAGCATTACATCATCTTGTTACATCTGTATGCTGTTAATCATTACATTGGCTTTTACTCTAAATTTGTGACTCTGCACTTCCATTACAATATTAAAATTTAACTCCTTGTTCACCAAAAGAACAAAATCCTGACAGTTCCAGAGACTAGCAACACACTTGGTAAAGAAATGTTTTATGTTTATTTTTTCTGTTCTCATTCACCCAGGACTCAGTTTGAGCAGATGTCCCCTGGCTCTGGTATTGTGTGAGATGTTTATTTTTTCTGTTCTCACTTGCCCAGCACTCAGTTAGAGCGGATGTCCCCTGGCTCTGGTATTGTGTGAGGGGGAAAAGAGCTTCTCTCTATCCACATGTTTTCAATATTCTTAATTCTTATGAATGCTTTTGGACTTCGGCTATTTAAGAGAAAAATTATTTTAAAAATAGAATATTTGTATTTAGCAAGCAGAACTTGAACTTTGAGATTCCTCTTTTTGCCCTTCAGAGTGTGGTCAGGGTTGTGTTCCATGACCGAAGATTGCAATATACAGAACACCAGCAGCTGGAAGGATGGAGGTGGAACCGACCTGGTGATCGCATCTTGGATATTGGTAATTGGGGAATTGACCAGTATTGAACCTAGAAGGAGTATCTTTTTCATTTGGACTTTGAAGAGACTAATGGAGGTTCCTTATGTTGCAGAGTGTTGAATTTTTGGTTGAACTCTTCTAGCTGCGAAGTGCAGGGATTCAGAGAGCAGAATAGTTTCGACATCCGATTAGTCTACCCCTTTTCTCATTAACTGGCACTTATAGTCTCAGTAACTCACTCTGTGACATTAGTAGTAGAAAGGATACTTACAATTGAAGAGATCCAATAGCAAACCGACAAACATGACTGTTTTCAGAAACAGACTTCAACAGATTGAGAGGGAAAAGAGATGCAGAGCAGAGAGGCAGGGCTCTCTTTGTCTTCAGAAGTAGGGAAGAAACAATTGTTTAGTGCTGGGTGGATTGACAATCACCCCAACTCAGAAAGGTCCCTCCCAGACAAACTTGCTAACAGCAGCATGCGAGGCTGCAAAAATGCCAACACATTGTGTATTAACAAGAGAGAAGGAGAGTACCTTCTCTGTTGTGTCGCTCCAATTTTGGGTCACCCTTCCCACGGAGCTGTGACTTAGTGGCAACATTATCTATTTTTTCAGTACCAGGTATAGTCCTATTTATTTGTCTGGTCATATTAGATTTGTTTATGAAGCTGATGTCGCTATCTAGTTTATGAAATTTCCTCTTTTGTTGTATTTTACTGTGGCTTTTAAAGATTTTTTAAAAAATTATATTTCAGAAATTGCTCTGGTCTATGTATCATAAAATAAAGTACAGTTTTAAAAAGATTTCAAATATAAATATGTATAAAAATTTTTCAGTATGCCTGATTCGTTTGCAACGTATCATGACGTTTACAGCGCATCATGCACACATAACTGTAGACCCCAACGGACTGATAACTCCCACCTTTAAAAATAAAAATTTAAAAATCCATCCTGGACAAAAAATAATCCTGAATATCACTTCTGAGAGGAAGTGAAACGTTCTTTCAGGTGAGAAAATATTTTGGTTCTCCCTTGCAGAGAACCCAATTTCCTAGGCCTCCCACAACAAACCTTTACCTCTCCAACGCCTCAATGATCTCTGTTTAGTTTATGATTCCCCCCCCTTTTTTCAATTTAGACATGCTAAATGATATAAAGGTTCACAAGCAAAAACACAGAGCTCCTTGCCTGCAAGAGCTTGCAGTGTGTGAAATATGCAATGCAAAAATAGTGGGACCTCTGCAGAGACATGCAGTTATATCTTGGTTGCAAGTGGGAATCAGGTCTTATATACAAAGTGGGTGCAACCTCCAGCATTTGAGAGACTGCACAGAGGCCCTTGAAGGTCCATATTATGTAATTCTATGACACCCTACTCTACCCCAATTTTTCTCTTACAAAAATGTTTTTCTTTAAAAATCTGAAAAATCCCTCTTGCATCCTCTAGTGGCCAAAAATAAGCTAAAATAAAGGGGTGTTTCAAGGGCCCTCAAAACAGCAGGAAAAGATAGCAGAAGGGGACTTTCTGAATGAACTCCCCCTCTCCATTTTAAATGTTATATGGTGGTGTGTGCATACACATGGGTGCTGTGAGCCCCCCAGGAAAGTTGCTTGGTGTCCAGTTTGTTTGATGTGAAGGTTTATTAAGGCAAAGTTTCCCTGGGAAAAAAAAGCTGGGGTTTAGAGAAGGGATTTGAAAAAGGCAGTAAATACTGGTTTTCTGTGATCCAGCACGCTCCAGTTGTGTTACACTGTAAATGCCATCATCATATTGGATGGGGATGATGAGTCTAGTCCAACATATCTGGAGAACCGGAGCCTGATATAGGTAGGCAGAGAGAGAGAGAGAGAGAGAGTTCTGTGCCTACATCCATCCAAATAAATTTCCTGTCAGCAGTGATTGTTTCTGTTATAAAATGGCACTTCCTCTCCCTTTTTATGGCCCTCTGTAGATATCCCCATGTCTGTAGGCATCCTCGAACCCCACATTCACCCCACCTTGCTCAACACTGTGGAATTCCTGTGGGATCCAACTAAGCGGACTTCGGTCTTTGTCCAGGTAGGCATGCAAGATCCTGTGCGGAGGGCTCTCAACAACTGCCATGTTGCTTCCTGCCCGTTTTCTAAGGAAGGCCACCACCATTTCCTTTTAAATGAGGGAAGATTTAGTGCCTCTAGCAACTGTATATTAGGTGAATGGTGTCAGGTTAATATAGTTACTTGAATGTGTGTAAACACAGTGGTGGTGGTAGAAGTCAGATCTGCAATAAAATGTTGCGGTGCACACAGTCCAGCCCTTTCTTCCCCTGCACCTCATCATTCCTTGGCTTATGGATGTGTTCAGTGCCCCCACTGGCTTGTTTTAAGGTCTTCTCCTTCACATTGGATCTCTCCCCCCCCCCTTTTCGGGGAATATTGGTCTTGTTGCACTCACATTGTGCTGATGCCTCTCTTTTCTGTGTAGATGCTGCAGGGGTTAAGGGTTGCTGTTTCTTTGGATGCACAAGCAATCTGATCCACACAGGAAAGAAAGAGAATTAGATCGAAGTTGGCTTTGAATGTGGGAAGAGCAAAGTTGGTGTGAAAAGACTATGGCAGTGATAGACATGGCTGATGCATTATAGGCTGCTTTGAGAAGACCTGAATGCCAGTTAAGCAATGCATGCACACAAGTAAACACAGTTACATAAATAGTTTTCGGGGATCAGCTGAAACAGGGAAAAAACTGTTGTCTTCTAACAAAGAAATCCACCACTGCAAGAGGTAGTGATACTGGACAGTTTATATTACTTTAGAAAAGATGTGAGAAATTCATGGATAATGGGTCTCTCAGTCACTTCTAGTCATGATGATGGCTGCATGTTACCTCCAGTATCAGAGACAGTATGATTGTGCACAGCAGTTGCTTGGGAACACACCTGCATTGGGTGTTCTTGTGTGATGTCCTGCCTGTTGTTTTCCTTTTGCCACTGTAGGCACCATATATTAGGTTGGATAGGCTTGTAGGTCTCACCTAGCACTGCTCTTTGTATGGATGTTTCTGCCCTGTGCCCACTATTTCCAACCGATATGGCTTCATCTCAGTCTTCCTCAATCTAGCATCCTCCTGATGTGCTGGTCTGCTGCTCGTGCTGACTCTGTGGTGCTCTGAGTTGTAGTTTTAAAATGTCTGGAAGAAGCTAGGTCAGAGAAGGTGGCTCAGCTTCTCCCCCCACCCCCACCCCATCTTTCTTACTGCACCAGGTCCACTGCATCAGTACTGAGTTCACACTACGCAAGAATGGTGGGGAGAAAGGAGTTCCCTTCCGCATCCAGGTAGACACGTTCAGGCCCAGTGAGAAGGAGGAACAGGTGGAGCATTTGCACTCGGCCAGCTGCCTCATCAAAGTCTTCAAGGTAACAACTGTTTTGTGCTGCAGGACCAAGAGACCAAGCCCACCTCTCCAGCATCATCACTCAGTATTGTGTCATCAGACTCAAGAGCAGCAAATGGGTCTCCTAACAAGACTCAGAGCAAGAGACACAGTACACAGAGCCAGGCCAGTGGTTCTGGCACATCGGGGGTGGGGGTGGGGAATCAAACAAGCTCATCTCTCTGTCTCTGGCAATAAGGATACCATAACAAGTGACAATTCCCCCAGAACACACACACGCACACGCACACGCACACGCACACGCACACACACACACACACACACACACACACACACACACACACACACCTTTTTCAGGAGACTCACTGGTATAGCTCAGTGAGTTGGAATGCCTGACTGTGGAGCCAAGGAACAGGAGGTTAAATTTCCACTATAACTCCCAAGAGAGGGATCAGGTGAAATAATCTGGAATGTAATGTGTGTTGCTCATGAGGTTCCCAGCCCTGCCGTCTGTGTGGCCTTGGGGAAGCTGCACCATCCCAGGGCACCACCGCAGGGAAGAACTGACCAACCATTTCTGATTCGTCACCCCTAGAAAACCCTGGGATGGTTGCCACAAGTTGGAATTGACATGATGGCGTATATATTTACTATTAATATTATTGTGAAACACCGGGCACTGTTAACATTATAAAATGTATGCTGTTCCTAATATTGCCATTTATTGTAGCTCTGATTGTGTGATTTCTGAGATTATTATTATACTTCACACATTCAGTTGCCTGTTACCTAGTGTGTAATAATCAAGTTCAGAGAAACTGGGTGATACATCGTTCTTAGCTGGTTTAACAATGTAAGAGGTTCTTTCTAAACTGCTGCAGCATAAAGGCAAGTGTAGAAAACTTGAGCAATGCAGAGAATCTAGATCTGCTTCTTGTGCATGTGCAAGTGTGTTTGAAAATCTGATATATTTTTCAATTGCTATTTTAATTTTTATATTTTTAGCCAAAAGGAGCAGACCGGAAGCAAAAAACAGACAGGGAAAAGATTGAGAAGCAATCCCTTCAGGAACGTGAGAAGTACCAGCCTTCATATGAAAGCACAATGCTGACTGAGGTATGAATGACATCTCTTCATTTGCAGCTGCCTGGTTGCCAAAGAGCTCTGTTTAACTTGAAAGCTTGCTTTCATTCTGATTATCTGTCAACACCAGAAGCTGGTCATGGAAACAACAGTAACTGCTTTATAGGAGGAAAAGCAGAGCTTGAAATACATTTAAAGCATTATGTTATCCCTAATTTCCTTAGAGCAGAATGTTATTTGCAACCTTAGCATATCACTTTCCCGATGGAATGCATTCACCTGCATAATGCGAAAAGCTGAAACATGTTTTGAAAACCCAACCTTCTTCTACAGGTCAGCTGTTGATGAGATTTTTAAAAAATGTTTTTAACCAATTTACTACTATCTTTTTGCTGCCCAATGATATTGTGATAAATCTGGAAGTACAGATGCTGAGTCCCTGTAACCAACCCCCCCCCCATTAGGAGAAAAATAAAAAATACAGGTAGTTGGATGAATTCATGCTAACAAATATAGAACAGTCTGTCTTTAAGGCTCTCTTAACTGCTAATTCAAGACCATGTCACCTTCAAAGACTTTGCATTATGACAGGGATAGTCTACAACAATATATTATTCCTCGGAAAATCCACTTTCTCTCCCTGGTACTGTAAATGTAGAGAGCACAGGGAACCTTAACAGGGGTGGCATACTATGTGATGGTCCTTGCTCCTCAGAAAGTCCCAGGACCTCTGTGAGCTTTAGTTCCACTACGTCACCAATACTGCCCTTGCAAGACAAGGTTCGGTTTCCCTGCCTTGGCTTATAGCCATTAACAAGTAGTACACAACATAGCTGTCAGTGATGACAGATTGTATTCAGGTTGTCTGCCTGCCAGGAAGCCATATGGAATGGAATTCATATCCCATCCCATTTTTCCACTCCCTATCAGCTTCCCTTTCCTGGTTGTTCCTCCTCCTCCAACTGTTGGTCAGTGTTTTTTGGCCACTAACTTTGCTCTGAAAAAAATCCTCACTAGATAGCTTTCTAATGGGATCAACCTCCACCCAATTTAAGTTCCCATTCTAAAGATGTTCGCCTACTTCTCAAAACTTTGCAGTTTCCCTGAACCAGCTTATAACACTGCCTTGTTTCTCACTAGCCCAGTTTTGGCTATGTAGCTGCTTTAATTTTAACCTGAGCTCCTCGTTAGAATATAGCAGTGGTGGTGATGTTGGTGATGATAAACCCATTTCCCATCAACTTATATAAAAACATTTCTGATGTATCTGCATACACTTGTGTGGGCACACAGATAGAAAGATGTAAAGTGTGGCCCATTTCCTTAACCCACCCGGCTCCTACTTAGGGTCAAACTAGACATTGCAGATAGCACATCATTAGGTGCACTGGTGTTCATACGTTTGTGTTTTATCAATCATACTTGCAAAGTAATTGTGCGTTTACCTGTGATAACCAATCACAAAACAAAGCGAAGTAATTTGTAAAACAGTGGAGGTGTCATATTAATCAGACGTTTATTGGCAGACAGAGATAGATACAGATATCCCCTTTCTAATAACCTGTTATCTGCTATGTATAGTTTAACCCAAAATTTTCACAACGCTACTAATTTACCCGTTCCTAGTGTCCCTCATCCCTCCTTGGCTCATTAAGTTGAAGTTGTCTGTTCCCAGAATTATAATTTGTACGGCACTTAGCAAGCTGTTGCTAAATATATCTCCAAGCAAGCTTGTGTTTTGCAGTAGGAGATGACAGAATAAGGAGGAGTCAAGAAAGAAGGCATCTGGAGGTTCTCCTTTTCTTCTCCCAAGATGTTCAGAAGGAGAAGCCAGGAAAGGGGGAGTAGCTGCAGGCTTTTTGACCATGTTTCAGAGCAGAGTAATCCAATGAGGAGTTTCTGCTTCCCTGTGACACCATGGCAAAAGGAACATTAGCATCACCTACCTAAGTTTGTGCTGAACTTCACACCCATGAGGGCTAGAAGGGTGGTTTTAAAAAATCCTGAAAGCATGCTGTAATTTTGGGGTGCCATATGCACAGCTCTTCTGTGGATGTTCATGTGATTTGGGATGAGCCCAGCTTTCATCTCTGGGGAGGACTACAGCTTCTAGAATATCCCAGCCATAATAGCCAATGGCTGTGCCAGCTGAGGATTTCTGGGAGCTGTCGTCTGGAAAAAAAGTAGATCGTCCACAAAAAAAAAGTTAAGTGTTCAAAATGTTGTACTCGAAGCCAGATAGCTATTGATGACTGGTAAAAGTGTGAGATGCAACTCCCAGAGTCCGGCATCTATTTCTTCCTGTCCTTTCCCCCCAGTGTGCTCCATGGCCAGAAGCTTCCAGCAGCCTTCACAGTCCTCCCAGCACCCCTGGCCTTGTCTCTCCACACCCTTTCAAGCTTCAGACACCAGAAAGGTCAGTTGGGCAAAGCTCAGCATCTTTTGCACCAGGCCTATCCTCACATTTCTGAAACTTTGGCAGCCCAACAGAATAACCAACTTGGTCACTCTTCCTTGGTAGGGTCTGTTCCTCACCTGGCTATGCTTTGGACAGCTCATCAGAAAGCACAGCAGAGGTAAGAAAAAGGGATCACCTTTAAAACCCATGAATGGTTAGCAGGGCTGCTTTGCAAGTCCTCGCTTGCTTGGTTCATCAGATGAGAAAACCGAACCAGAATGGAACTTCGAATGCAATGCTCCCCAATCTTGTGTAACCCAGGTGTTCTTGGACTGCAGTTCCCAGAAGCCTTCCCCACTAGCTCTGCTGGCTGGGATTTCTGGGAGTTGTAGTCCGAGAACCACCTGGGTTACCCAAGGTTGGGGACCACTGTTCTAAAGCACTGCATTTGTGCAGATTCTTTTTCTGCAATTAAAAGCAAAATATTTTGAATATTCCACTCAGCAGTTTTCAAACTTTGTTCTTTTCTCTGGGATGTGTGCGTAACCCTGAGGTGCCCAAGAATTCCAACCCAATGGAATTTGGTTTCTCCCATAGTCAGTCATAGAAGAGCAGGGCCAGTTGTACCACGAGTCAGGATGAGATGGCCATCTGGTGCATCAGATTCATAAGAGGACAACAGCCTGCTAGTTTTTAAAGGTATTACTGTTGTGCTGGGTGAGAACAAGTGCTTGTGAGAGTTTCTGTCTTGTGTGCCACATGTCCTTGGGTGACTGTAGGTGATACGGACTTTGACCACAGCGGGTGGCCAAGGTTTGTGCCTGTGGCTTAGGAAGTAAGATTTCTTGGGCTGATCCTGAAGAAGAAAATCAAAAAGCATTCTAGGACATACTGTTAATCCAAAGGAGGAACTGAAGCAAAGCTTCGACTCTTGGTTACACTGTTTGGTAGATCTCGGGATTTGTAGACCCTCCCCCACAAAAAAAATTAAGTTATCCAAGGTTTGCACAGCAGCAAGGTGGGATAAGTCAGAACTGAAAAGCTAAGCCTTTCGGGCTGACACGCCGCCTTGGAAAATGCTCTCTTAAGGTAGCAGATCTGAAAACCTTTGCTCTAGGAGAGGAATTAGTAAGCAAGTAATGGCAGGAGCAGCAGCATGAGGGAAAGCGAGGCTACAGTCTGTTTTGGGTTTGAATTGTGGCAGAATGGGAGATAAAATAGATGTGATTCATGAAATGCAATCCACCATAAGAGGCTGGCTGAGACGAGGACAAATGGTATGTAGCTCTGTGGTGCCACTCCAGCTGATCAAAAACAGTCCAAGGTTGCCTCCTGGTGGCAAAGTGGCCTTGATGTCTGGCACTAAAAATAATAATAATAATAAAAAGACACATGCGATTCATATTGACGAATATGTACATTCCAAACACAAAAAGGTACTAAATAACTGGATATTCCCGAGGTGCCTTACAAGCGAAATAAGATTTTCCTCCTGAGGTTCCAGAAAGCTAATTTAAATTTTTTCTTCTGAAACAGGCAATTACAGAAAAGGTGAGCAAGTAAAAATACTAGCTTTGTTTTTTTTAATTGAAATGAGGCATCTGTCTATGGGAGCTGAAGTAAAAATAAGATTAGAACTCCCACTCATATACTACCCTTGGGCTTGGAATTTATTACACACAGAGATTCCTTCCAAGAGTGTTTGTAGGTTGTAACTAAGGATGATGGTTTCTCCATTGGTTGGTTCTTTCCAGACCCTGAGCCCGAGTGCCTCCATCTTGGAGACTCAACAGTGGTTGCACAAAAACAGGTTCTCCAGTTACTCCCGGGTTTTCTCCAGCTATACAGGTGAGGTCACTCTTTGTCCCTGAAATTTGTCCATAAAGATGTGCCATCTCATTGCAATTTTGCATTTTCTCCAGACCAATTCTCTTTTAGCTAGGTGGGGAGCATTCACAATTTTAAAAACAAACAAACCTGGGTCCTCTCTCACTCTAACTTCCATTTTAAAAAGTTCTGAGAAAACATTTAAGAATAAATGAAATTATGCATGGTATGGAGAAGCAGATAAATGTGATGCATGTGGGCAGTTTCCTTTTCTCCTCACATAATTATAGAAGCTGAGGGTCCTGCACTGAAGCCATATGGTGGAAACTAAGGACACAGAAAACAGAAGTACTTCTTCACATGAAGTATAGTCAGATGTTGAGATTTGCTACCACAAGTAGTCACTATAGCTGCCTTTAAGTGAGGACTGGATGGATTCATGGAGGAGGAGGAGGAGGTAAACAATGGCTACTAGACAAGATAGGTGTCTGTCCATCTGTTTTCTAGGAACAGAGGCAGTTATGTCTTTGAATGCCAGTTGCTGAGGAACATGAGAGAGATTATGATAAAACACACACACCAGATGTTGATATCCAAGATATATGAAGAGAGGAATTCCAAAGCACTGGGGACGAGACTTTCAAAAGTGTTGTTCCTACTGGGGATGAGACCAAGGAATTTCAAATCATACTGAGGCTGCAAACCTTTAACTCCATTGGGTCAGAATAAGATATCAGAATGAAAATTTGGCCCATTCGCTCTTGAACCCAGCGAAGTTACTCTGTTCTTATTAAAGACCCATGAAAACACGTTCTGAATTTTTCACTTGCTTTTGACCATCTTTCTTTCTCTTACAGGAGCTGATCTGCTCAAGCTCTCCCGTACGGATCTAGTACAGATCTGTGGAACGGCAGATGGAATCCGACTCTCAAATGCCCTAAAGGCCAGGTATGAAAGTAGAAAGAGAGGGAGAAGATTTATGGATTATTATGAAAGGTCTTAGTTTAAAAAACAAACAAAGCTATGGCAGAACTGACTTATATATCTGTTATATTAAAGTTGAAGTTATTTTAAAATAACTTCATCTCTGTAGCTACATTTCCTGATGTTTTCCCTTCTATCTAACTGTGCATCCTTAACAGCTAGATAGAAGGGAAACGATCAGGAAATGTAGTTACAGAGATGAAGTTATTTTTTAAAACTACAACTCCCAGAATTCCTTGGCAAGCATGAAAACATTCACTAGTCATCCCCCTGCCCAATGGGTTTGTGACTGGCTGAGGGGGAAGTGGACAGAGGAAGAGATTCTTTAGATTAAGTGTAGAGAAACAGAAAAGCTTAAAGCCTTGCTTTTCTCCTGCAATTCTGTCCTTGCCCTTTCTGGCCTCCAGGTGGAGATAGGGAGCATGAGAAAATTTTACCAGAATACACAACATACGTTTACATTCATTAGTCACCCCCCCGGGGGGTTGTGATTGGCTGAGAGATGCCCATAATCTTTTTAGCTGGGGGCGCTGGGGTGAAACTAGGCTAATTGCCATGAGAATGGTGATTCTTATCACTTTGCTTTGCCCTACAATGCTGGGGTTGCTTTAGGGACTTGCATGTCCTGCACCCATCTCCTGATGATCCAGTGGTCATCTACAAGAAAGTGCTTGCAGACCTTCAGAGTAACTTTGTATCTCAATATTCACTGGGCAAGATATACAGTACCACCTAGTTTGTGCATATCCCCAGAAGTATATAGTAGATAGGAGGCACAGAGGTGGAGAAGGTATGACCCTTCAGACATTGCTGGATGACTCACATCAGCCTTAGGCAGCATAAGCAATGGTGAAGAATGATGGGAATTTTTTGTTCAGCACAGTTTTTACCACCACATCTTTCCCCCTCCCTGGTATAGTGGACTAGGAAAACTAGAGTGAAACTTCTAGTTTGCTACAAGGTACAGTAGGCTTGCAGGTCATTCACCTTTTCCGAGGGCAAAAAAGACATGTTCAAAGAATTGCATCTCCACTGCTCTTTGATTTTCTTCCCAGCAATGTGATCTGCTTTATTGTTTGTGACTCTCAAGTTATACATGCAAAAGAAGTCACTGTTTACATGCCAGAGCTGATGCAGATGACACACATGCTTCCACTTTTAAATGTGTTTTCACTATTACACCTTTTTTTTACCACTTCAACAAGCACTCCTCTTAGGAGCAGATTTCTCTGGTAGTTTTGCCCTCAAGTTCACCTGCTTCAAAGGCTGCAAGGAACTTTCCTTGAAATGCAAATAGCAACTAGCTTCTCAAGGCAGCTTCTGCCAGGACTGTGGCAGGGAGCAAAACTTCCTCTTCTTGCACCCATTCTCCTTACTAAGACTGTTCCTGTTCCTCTCCACACAACAAAAAAGTGCATACTGACTGCAGTTGTGCTTTATGGCTCAGCTCTGTTGCATTTTTGTTTATATCATTATAAAGTAGGATTTATAATAATACCAATGTTATGCCCAATTCTACTTTACAACTCTGGGATTTTAATGCTTCGCTGCACTCTGTGTTAAAAAGCTAAACCTGTCTCCTGCAACTGAAACAGAGCCATCCTTTGCTTCTGCCTTCTCTCTCTCTTGCCTTGACCTGTGCATCAACAGGAGCCAGCGAGACTCATTGTAGTCTCTCTTTCCTCTTTATGTCCATGGCGCTATGCTCAACCCCAGAATGCAAGATTAAAAACAGGAGTGAGGATGATGAGGTGCACACTGTCACATTGCAGGATTACTCTAGGATTAGATTGCACCGCAGTTTGTCATTGAAATAAACAAACTGAACCTCTCATTTTGAAAGGCAGGAGTTGTGTTTGCGTGTTCCAACTCACCCCAGTAAAAGGGGCCAGTCCTATCGTTAAGCAAACTCAGGTGGCCAGCTCAGGCAGCAGATTTAGGGGATTATGAAAGGACAGCAAATGATCAGTCATTTCTTTTATTACTAAATGTGCATTGCAGGGAGTCAGAGAAAGGTGCTTAGTGGGTTTTTCTCTCTCATGTGCCAAAATAACACTGCTCTCTTTGAATGCTATGCACCTTGACTTGGATATGTATGTAGGGGGTGCCATTTGCATCAGGGAGCATAATGCCTTGAGCCAGCCCCACCCTGGAGGCCTGGCACAGACAACAACACAACGAGCTAAATCCAGAAGCCACTTGGCCGGTTCTCTCTGTGTTGCCTAGAGTGAGACTAAAGGGTGGGAATGAGGGTGGATGACGCCCTCGCTCTCTTTACCCAGCCCTCTCTCTTTACCATTCCCTACTTCAGTCAGAATTGAACCTCACAGCGAGAAACAGATTAGGGAATAGCGGGGGAGATGGAGAAAGTTACATTTGGGAGCTATGGTCCAAAAATGGAACTTTTTCGTTTTGTGTGGGCTGCATTTTCCATTCTCCTGATGACATCCAGAATGAGAGGGTGAATGTAGGGGGGCAAAGTGGTTGTGGGGCAGCAGGGAGTGGGTAGAAAGCCAAGGACAAGGGAAAATGAGGGCATGGCACATCCCACCAAATCATTACCTTCCTTCCCTTCATTCATAAAACCCAGGTAAACATACTGTCTGAAACAACTCCCCTTCTGCCTTAAAGAAACATTCATTCATCCTTATCCAGTCCGCTTTCCATAGCACTCCAGTCTTAAGAGCAATGCCTTTTTCTAGACAACCCTTACTCATTTCCCACATACCTGAGCATAATATTTGCAAATAGCTCAGCTCTGGAACCTCCTCGTGAGAGTTTGGTTTGGTTTGAAGGGTCTGCTCCTTTCCCCTTCTGTATTACTCACTGGAAGGACAGATCCTGAAGCTGAGGCTCCAATACTTTGGCCATCTCATGAGAAGAGAAGACTCCCTGGAAAAGCCCCTGATGTTGGGAAAGTTGTGAGGGCAAGAGAAGAAGGGGACGACAGAGGATGAGATGGTTGGATAGTGTCATTGAAGCTACGAATGTGAATCTGACCAAACTCCGGGAGGCAGTGGAAGACAGGAGGGCCTGGCGTGCTCTGGTCCATGGGGTCACGAAGAGTTGATCACAACTTAACAACTAAACAACAATTGTGAAATAGTATAAAGAGTGCAGATGGGGGAATCTTTCAGAGATCAGCTAGGTTGATTTTTAATTGGGCCACTTGTATGAATGAAAGGCAGGTAGCCTTGCTTTAGTTTTGCTTGGTAGTGTCTACCTTGTTTTTTTTTCCTTATTAGAAGCTCTGGACCCACCAACAGGAGTCAGGTGCAAAAACAGCTCCTCAAAGGCAAATAATTCTGAGCCCAGGAATTTGTTTTGAGTACTAGCACTAAATGGAGTTCCCAGTCATTCCATACAAAAATCCACATGCCTGATTATTCTAAGTTTTCTTCATTTGAGCAAACAAATTTGTGGATTAGAGCAGGAGAGTAATGCTTTTAACCACTGGAATTCAGGCATTCATATCTGTCAACTGCAATTCCCCCAAGTGTGAAACCTAGCCCTCTGCAGATGTTAACAAACTGCTACTCCCAATTCTCTCACTACTGGTTAGGCTAGCACAAGTTGATGGAAACTCATTTCAATACCTGGAGGGTCAGACCCCCTCACCCCCACCTCACTATAAGCCAGGCTGTACCTTCTGGCCACCCTCGTTATCAGATAAGTTTTATTCCCTGTGACAACATGGCAGGGCTTAGGTTGAGAGATCAGCTGAACTACAATTGTTAGGAGATTTGAGAGGGGAACTTTCCAATGGGTCTTCTTAGCCACAAAACTGAGTCCAGATAAGCCACAGAACGTTACTTCACTTCCCTTTCTTCACACAGATGTGTGCGCCCTCGACTCATCCTTTATGTGTCCAAAGAGGCTGAAGTGAGTGGGAGAAATGGCTCCCCCAATAATGCATCTGGTGAGTGGACATTACTCTATCAGGTTGAGCACTGAGAGATTTTCACCTGAGATAACCTAACTTTATGTACACCTGCCAAGAGGTGTCAGCAAAGATGTGTCTTAAGAAGAGATTCCAGATTCTTGTGTAATTTCTCATACTGTGTGGTGCAACGATTCTTTCAACACAGGGTGGACTACAACCCCCATCTACCCTGGCCATCAGAGCCAATGGTGATGGACACGCAGAACTGCAGCCCAACAGTGTCACAGCTGTTGACTCATTTTAATGTAAACTAGTTTGGAAGATTAATTTGAGAGGTGGGATATAACATTTAGCAGAGCAAATTTTTTTTGACATACCATGAGAACCTGAATTAGAATTTTCATTTTCTTCTCTCATAGTGACAGGAGAATGGGCATATCAATAAACATGTTTTTCCCCTATATATAAGGCATCTATTTAAATATTACTTTAAAATCTGCCATTTTCTCTGTAAATATTCATATACTATTTGTTATTTCCCCATTTCCAGAAGCTATATACCAGGAGTTGTATCTGGAAGAACTGAGTGCCACTGAGCTAACCAATAAGCTGGCAGAACTGCTTAGCCTTCCAGCCAATCAGATTCAACAAGTTTCTAGACAGGGGCCTACAGGAATTCACATCCTTGTCAGTGACCAGGTAAGGATGAACCTTATGACACCACCAGGCAATGCCTAAAATGAGATATTGGAAAACTTCCTTTGGTAAACTATAAATCCCAGGATCCTCATGCCAGCACAGCTTGTAAAACACAGACACTTGGTCATCTTGATTCGACACCAAAAATCCAAAGTGAATATGCTTGTCTGCAAATGTTTGTTTAAATATCGTCTAATTTCTGTGACCCTGCAATTCTCCAGCACAAAATGTCTGAAACTTAGAACTTGAGCTGGGAAAAGTTACTTTCTTGGACTACAAGCCTCAGAATCTCCCAGACAACAGATAGATGTAATAAGAAGTTATGTTGAGTCAGACCATTAGTATACCTATGACACTGAATTTAGTACGATTCAAACATATCCACCACCAATGAATTACAGCACCTTCTTGGAAGTCATTCTTTAATGCATTTCATTTTACTATGGCAACTAATGCTGGGTGATCCAGGCTTCTGCCTCAAAGAGCTCTCAAAAAGCTTGTCCGAGGTGACTTTTTGACAGAGAAGTGATTTCAAACTGGGAGTGACTTGTTCAGAAGACCCAATCAAGCTTATATTTTTTGGCTTGTGCATTATTCTACAACTTACAAGGGGACTGCCTGGGGTCAACAGCGTATGTCAGACCCTCTTACTCAGAAGGCCTAGCTTGTAATTGTTGATAATATAAATGTGAATTCAGACAGCAAAAATTACCTATTATTCTATGTTTAGATCTTTTGTGTTTTCTCCAAAAAACACGTTGATGTGCACAGTCCTCTTCTTTTCTTCATCCTCACAGCAATCACATGAAGTAGGTCAAACTGAGGCACTCCCTAGCTGAGTTCAGCCAGTAAGATTCTAGTTGAGTGGGAATTTGAAATCTTCATAACCATAGATAGCCCTGGTCCAGGGCTCAGCCCACAGCACCATGCAGATCAGCCACCCATCTGAGCAATATATACAAGTAGGACCACAGAGTGCTCTAATTAGAAAGTAGGTGGACTACAAGAGATACTTCCCAGGGAATGGCATCAAGGGGTTTGGGCAACAGACAGGTCGCACTGGGTGGGAGTCAAACACAAAGACAGGGTAAGTGCTGTAATTCACATTTACACAGAGCATTCCCAAAATTCAAGAACTTTGCTAATATAAAAACTATGTATAGTACAGTGGTGCCTCACACAACGAGTGCCTCACACAACGATGAATTCACATAACGATGTCTTTTTCTGATCAAGTTGCTGCCTCACACAGCGATGTTTCCTATGGGGGATTTTCACATAACGATGTCCCTATCCCCTCATTTAAAAGTGTCTTAAACTGTTAGGAAACTGTTTTAAATGCTTGGCATCGATAGTCCAGCTTGTGAAAGGCATGCAAACTTAATTTGGTGTTGTTCTGAGTCTTCGTTCATTTTTGCTGATTTTTTTATTTTTCCTCATTGAAATGTATTGGACGGTCCGTCCAATACATTGCAATGGAGAAAACAAAAAATCATCAAAAATGAACGAAGACTCAGAACAACACCAAATTAAGTTTGCATGCCTTTCACAAGCTGGACTATCGATGCCAAGCATTTAAAACAGTTTCCTAACAGTTTAAGACACTTTTAAATGAGGGGATAGGGACATCGTTATGTGAAAATCCCCCATAGGAAACATCGCTGTGTGAGGCAGCAACTTGATCAGAAAAAGACATCGTTATGTGAATTCATCGTTGTGTGAGGCACTCGTTGTGTTCTGAGTCTTCGTTCATTTTTGCTGATTTTTTGTTTTCTCCATTGCAATGTATTGGACGGACTGTCAAATACATTTCAATGAGGAAAAATAAAAAAATCAGCAAAAATGAACGAAGACTCAGAACAACACCAAATTAAGTTTGCATACCTTTCACAAGCTGGACTATCGATGCCAAGCATTTAAAACAGTTTCCTAACAGTTTAAGGCACTTTTAAATGAGGGAAAAGAGACATCGGAATGCCATTGAAATGTATTGAGTCGGCTTCAATACATTCCAATACAGTATAGGAAACATTGTTTCACTCAATGATGTTTTCTATGGGGATTTTCACTGAACGATGGCAATCCGTTCCAATTGGAACGGATTAACCGGTTTTCAATGCATCTCTATGGGAAATGGTGTTTCGCAGAACGATGTTTCACACAGCGATGAATTTTTTGGAACCAATTAACATCGTTGTGCGAGGCACCACTGTATATACTGTAACAGCTTGTTTTCTATCTAGCCAGAACACCCTTTACAAATGATTCTTCTGTGGGCATTCAGGAACCAGGTGGAGTGAGAGTAAATCTACAATTTGATCCACCCCAACATTGCTGTTCCTGCTGACCCTGCATTGAGTGGAAAGGCTGAAAAACACATTGGCTGATTGTGCTTAGGAATCCTTTGGGATCCCAGCTGCACAGCAAGACTGTATGTGCATTAAGTTGAAAAAGCACGGATTCCACCTTCTGGGTATCTGCTCAGTGCACAAAAGTTGGAGGTGGATGATGGGGGAGGGGCTGATTAATGTATTTGACTTTGCACTTCAAATCCCCCCCCACCATACATCAGGAACTGTTGGAGGATACTACAGTCTAATGTAGACTCCTCCAACCTCTTCTGCCCATCCACAGTTAGTAATTCATCATTGTTCTTTGTCACTGAACTCAATGGGGATTAAAAAATAAGATTTTTTTTAAAAACAAACCTGATAACTCCCAGTTAACTTTCTTTTTAAAAAATCTGAAAAGTCAGGCCAACATGTAATCTTGTGTTGTTCTTTTCTGGGTTGTCACAGATGGTCAGAAATCTCTCAGACGAAACATGCTTTGTAGCAACTGTAACAAAAGGTAGGTGAACTTGCGAGTATAATGAGCAGTCTTGTGTCACTTGAAAAGCTTGTCCTCAGGTGACCAAATCTGTGAGTGTGAGATGAGCAAAAGAGGACAGCTATTTATAATAAATACATCAGATCTAGTTCCCAACAGGAATAGAAAACATTTTTCCATTTGTGGTAGGTAGCACTGAGATCTAGGTGAAACGCCCACCAGAAGTTTTCAGAGTTGATTTTTTTATAAATTGCGACATGCAAATGCTACCCTCAACTCCACAAGGTTAAAGAGAAAAAAGTAACTGATTTACTCAGAGTGCGAGTGTGCAAGAGTAAGCTGGACTGACTGAATGCTGATAAAGGAGAGTGATGACATTTCTTTGGTCTGTTTGCTGTGGCCCTCTTAGACAAGGCCTCATTAAATCCAAAAGCTGGCTTGAAATACTGTAGTCTGGTTAGAGCCAAGCACTTATAAAGACTTCTGGCAAATTGGAGGACACAAGCTTAGTCTAATAAAGCAGCCTCTGATGGTAAAAGGAGGCTTACTTTTTTATTTGTTTAGACTTATTACCTTCCCATTTAGTGGACTAGCCACTACTCTGGGCAGCTTTCAAACAATTAACAAGAAGAAACAAACAAAATTTTAAAAATGAACATATAAAAACAAAAAATCATCAAATTCCAGTCTAGCAAATAATCCAAAACTCAGAACAGCCAACCATGGGCTAGCACAAACTTACTACTAAATTATTACCACAAAGGGGTGAGGTTTGTAAAGGTCTGAATAAAAAGCTCGGCGTTATTTTACTTCTGAAAGTTCAAGAGGTGGGGGTCAGTTGCATCTCCATGGGAAAAGAGTGGGACAGCCACTACCAAGAAAAACCTGATTTCTGTTCGATGGCTTCTGGGCCTTTTGGAGTGGCTTACACCTCCCACTAGATAGAATAAGAAAACTGTCTCAGGCAGCAGAGACATCAACTTTCCAGCCATTCTTTTCAGCCTTCTTCTTGAAGAGAGCAATAGCTACCACCCAGCTTGCCCTGCACCATATGCACTATACTGGTAACCGCTGATAGTGGGAAATAGGACTGTTTGAATGAGTTGGGTTTGGCCCTGGGTAGAATTCAAGATGCTCCAGGTTCTTTCTTTGTGATCTATCCAGTGTAAATTATTCTGTAAGTTTGTAGGAGTAGCAAAGATACTGAAAGTGACTCCTTTGTCTTCTGTTGTGTGTCCTTACAGTGCAGAACACAGAAGGCTATCACTTAGTTCTAAAATAAGACTTGGACCTTCTAGAAGATGTGTTGCTGGTCTGCAAGAAGGTGTGGATCAGTGATTCAAAGGCAGGTGCAATAATACTAAGCATGAAAAACAAGCAACCCAGAAAATCACTGTATTCCAATGAGTGCAAGATTTCCCAAGGCTAAACTCTTCTAGATCTGGAACTGAAGGAGCAAGCAGGTTTCTGCCAGGAGGAAGGCACTGGCAGTGCACTAAACTGCTGCATGCAGTTTTCTACTGTGAAATTTACAGGGTGGGGTGGAGTGAATAGTCTTGCCAAAGAGCTATTGAAGGACAGAAGGAGCAGTGGCACACTCATGATGATACTTTACAAAGTGAGAGCTCTAGCCAGAGATATTGTGACAGAAGTGCATAGGGTGAAAGAGGTTGCTGGTTTGTAAACATAGGTTTTATTGGAATGTGGAACCTGACTTCTTTTTTAAAATTAATAAGTATCGACAGATGGTTACAAGCCCTCTTTAAAAAAAAAGAATGGATTTGTGTATAATTCTCAAATTCTCTACTGGTAAGGGCACAACAATTGGAACTACACATTAGTTTAATGTGAACATGCTAGGTACATTTAAGCAGGACAATCAGTAAGGCAGAAAAGTTACTTTACCCTTTGGACTGAGTATCTCCTGCAAACTCTTCATCATGCTCCCCAAAGCCAAGCCTATTTCCAGTCAGCCTGGTTGGGAGGGACCTGCCAGGGGGTACTGACACAAGGAAAGGCAAAGCCTCTACTCATTGGAGAATGAAAGAGCTTGGAAAGTTACTTTTAAAAATAATTAAATTATGCTGTTCGTTTGAAAAGTAACCCTTTATGTTACTTGTTGGGCTGCTTGTTACTTTTCTATTATTTATGGTTACTTTTAAGAGGTGAAAACCCTCAGGACTGATAAGAAAATGGTATAGAAGTTGAAAAATCCTAAACACCTTTAAAAAGTAACTTTACAGAACAACTAGAATATGTTGCACCTTATACCAATAAAGAAATTTGTAATGAAGCTTTCAAAACTCTCATTGTAGTCTAGGGTGGGTTGCTGTTTGGGACTAACAACCCATTATAAATCACCCTCTGCTGTTGTAATCAGGCATTTAGGAAGCATCCACTGACACTAGTGGAGTCTTTTTTAAAAAGTCCAATTGCCACAGAGAGTAGGGCAACATGAGAATGTATTGTGTACAGAGTGTGTGTTACATTAGTGAACAGGGCCTAGGAACTCATACTGGGGACACATGCCAGTAGTGGTGCCTCTTGGGGGCATGTTTCACCACTGGGTCAAAGAAGTGTCACCCACCTCCTGCCTTATGTAATGAGTCACTGAAGAAATTCAGTCTGCCTCAGTCCTGAGTTTCTGTCCAATAGATGCTGCTGCATGGTGGTGACCATCAGGACTTACTCAGAACCTCTTCATCTTCTGCTTTGAGCACCTCCACCATTTCCAATGGAAGAGTGTAGCTGCCCATCCCTGCCAAAGAGCAGGTGACGTCTAAGACAAAGTATGGTGAATGCAACAGCCTCAACTACCATTTTATTTTGGGGAGAAGGGGTGGCGGTACCCATTACACTCAATTTCTGCTGAGAGTTGCAACCAACAGTTGACAAGTTTTGGTAGCAGTCTTCCTGGAACGATCTATCACATTTCCTTGAGGTATGCTGGAAGCTAGCAGGGCAATCCAAGGTCACACACCTGGCAGAAGGGGAACTGTGTAACAATATCTTTCCTGAACACTTGAAAGTTCTCCAACCTGCAGTCCAACTTCCAGGACAAAGCAAGGTCACTGCTCCAGTCACTAAAGAAATAACAGTAACATTTCTTTCATTTGCCTTCCAAGCTCAGATTGTAGAACTGTGGATATTATTTTGCTAGTTTTAAGAGAGAAAGCTATAGAGAGGTAGCTAAATCATTTCTTTAAGTATAAGCCCCACTGAACCCAACGAAGTTTGCTTCAAAATATACCACAGATGACTTGTGACCAGGGCAGAGGGGGCACTCATTCCAACGTTTCGGGATGAACCCTGGAACACACCTGTACAGGATCATGCTGTTACTGAGTCCTAAGCTGCAAATAATTTGCAGACTAGAAACACAATATTTTCTTTCCAATTAGCTTTCAAAAGTCTCTTCCTAAGAAATGTATATGCATTAACGCTTCCTTTTTACCTTTTAGTATTAACTGCGACCTTAAAAGAAAAAAAAAGAGATATTTTTATTTTGGTGTTGCTGTACTGTATTTGTCTAAGCCTTTTTGTATTAAAACATGTCTGTGTCTTACTGCCATCTGTTACCAGCTGGGAAGTTTTAAAAAAGTGGTCTAAATCCTTCTGCACTGCAGGGAATCAGCAACATAATTACAAAGTAATCAAGAATGTCTTATTTTTGTGCCAGATACACAGAATGTATTAGTGCAAACACATATGAAGTGTTATTTCTTTGGCTGAGAAGGAAAGGCTGTTTAGTGCACAGTAATCTCTTAAAACATTTAAGCTTGTAATCCAGAACCTTCTGGCAGTCCACAGAACTCTTTCCATTCCCACACAAAGGAAACTCTGGTAAAACCTTTCTGAATTTACACAAACAAACTTGGCTGAATCTCACTCCCAGTCTTTTAAACAAATCACAGCATCACAAAGGTCTCTATACAGACCATTATGATCTTTTAGTCCACAGGCCTTGTTGTACACAGCATTGTAAAGTTAACACCTTGAAATATGTATGAAATGAACCAAGATTTGCACTGTGTGAACACAGATAGTTTTCTGAATATGTAAATATACAGTCTTTTAAACATAACATTCCCAATGTCCACTCTAATCTTAGTGTCCACCTATGACAATAGCATGTTAAAGTGGTGACATACTGCTTCTTGTAGTCATCAAAATCATTTCATGTGCCACCAACATAAATTACTATGGTGCAGGATTGTAGATAAAATCCCTACAAGAGTTAATGCTTCTATAGCATGCCACCTGTATATCCTGTCAACTATATAATGGCTTTGGTTCATTTTTCACATTTCTAAGAACACAACCAATTGGTCTTGAACTAATTATCATAAAATGCATCAGCAAGATGAAATTCAGATGCTGACTGTGGACTTACCTTAAAAATGTAAGTAATACACCTCCTCCTCCACAAAAAAATCATATTGTGTTACCCTTCCCAGCCACAAAATAGCAAGGATTTGGAAACATGTTTTTCTTTTTTGAAACTATTTTTTCCACAATACTGTACAAACATTGCCAAGATTACAACAATATTATAAGATGGACAAGGAAATAAAGGTTGGCTCTCCACCCCCTCAGAGCACTTTACTTTTAGCGATTTGGCATTATATCCACACTAAAGTGCCCAGTAGGGGGAAAAGGACAGAATTATTAAAATATTTCTCTGATCTTTCTCTGTATATAGTTAGGAGACTGAATGGTTTGAATTTGGGTCTCCAATATACTGGGGTTTTTTTTTGGGGTGGGGGTGGGGGAAACCCTAGAAATCTCATTACCAAAAAATGTTTTGACCACAACTACCCAATATGACACAGAACAAGAGAAGAACTGTGCTCCACTAATCTGAAGTAGCTTTTTAAACTAATCAGGAAAGCAGAAAAAGTAATATAAGGGATCTCCATCAATCTTTCACTAATAGTTTTTTGTATAAAAAGTGTTCATACATATTAACATGATGCCATGCGTTTCCTGATGGAATTTACTAAATGGGACCGCCTATAGTCACGGCCAAAAATACTGGCACCTTTGCAATTCTGTCAGAAAATGCAACCCTTCTCTCGCCTATCTAATACATTGATATACTTGTTTCTGTCTTCAAGTTCCAAACCTTAGCCATGTAACAGCCCACAGATTAAGGGTAGTCTGGGATGCCTCTTACAGTTCCTTCCTCTTGAAACAGGCCTTTTTTTTGGCTAAGGAACACAACTCCTTTTCCACCATCTATCCCAATCACACTGTACCATGGACCTGCCATGTTCACATTTCAATAAACAAGAAATATGTAGTTCTTAACATATGTTTTTAACAGTATGGTGCAAAATTACCTATGCATCCACTGTAGGTGCTGTTTAACAACTATGACTTATGGCTGTGTTATTACACCTTCAAAATCTATGAGATGGCTGCCTCAGCATTTTTTTAAAAGACTGGTGTTATTCCAGACTGCTTGGCTGTATTTCTAACATCATTGACACCATCTTCACTCCGCTCTCAAGACAAGCAGGCACTAGCTGATGGATAATGACCTAACTTTCCATATGATGTGACCAGATATGGCTGAACACTGACACACATGCAGCTTCTATTGTAGCAGAACTTAATACTATTCCAGCACAAGAGTAGTTGGCGGTGATGCTACCGTTTGACAACTGGGCAGCACAAGAGTAGCCGGCGGTGATGCTACCGTTTGACAACTGGGATTTTAAGTTTCTAGTTGAATAAGCAGATAGGAAAGGAGGGAATATAATAAATAAAATATATTCCTGCATTGAGCAGAGGGTTGGACTTGACGGCCTTGTAGGCCCTCTTCCATCTTCACTTTTCTATGATTCTATGAAAATTACATCAGTCACAATGGCCTTTGGATTACAAGACTTGTACACAAGTAACCCACCTGTAACTGGAACCTGAAGAGGCAGAGGACCATAATTTTTCTTTTGATAATGAATTTGGCACAGTTTTTTGGAACAAGTATTTACCAATATGGTTAATAAATCCTTCCTCAACACTTTCACTCATGCATTGGCCCCAGCAGTCTGGACACCTACTACATTTTCATAATCTTCAAAAATGTGCGTGCAGCTTGCGCTCTTTCACACACACAGATCTGTAGCAATCACACAAACATAAGAAACCTATCAGAGAACAGGACAGATTGATGACATAGTGCAATTTATAACAGCTATCTATGAAAGGGTTACTACACATTCCAAAATTATTATTCACATCACTTCCTAAAAATATTATCTTTATGCCCTACCCTTGTCCTAAACATCAAGAATACATAGGTGTCCTAGCTTTGAAAAGTCTATTCTCAACAACCAATGTTGATTCTTGTTTAAAATTATGTATGAAAATAGATGGAAATAATGGAATGAGAATATTTGGCTTTTTGGTGTCTTAGCTTAAAAACAAGTATTGTGCTTTTGTAGCTTCTAAGTTCAAAGGCTTCTGAAAACAGAATTACGTCCAGGTTCTGTGCATGTGTGGTAGTGAGAATGTGCTACACTGCCATCAGTACAAAGCCCAAGATGTGCACACAGATTAAAGCTGGAAAAAACTCAAAGGCTGCAGCAGACATGAACGCTGCTCTCTCAAGTCCAAACTTCCTAAGGATCTGCCTATGCAAGTAGCTGGATTATAGGGTTATTTAGCCTTCTAGGAAGGTAGTGATACATATGTATACTTCCCCATATGACATGCTTATAGACTTGTCTTCTTGCTGCATTTAAAAGAAATGTGTGTAACAGAAATGGGAATTAACACTAAAAACCCAAGAACTTGGCAAGCTTTCATCCTATGCAAAGCTGTTATTCTAAAAAGACGTTAGGAAATTGTGGTTTATTGGCATTATGAATAAATACACTGGCAAGGGGTTTTGGGAGGATGGGAATGATGCTTGACGTTTCGGTAACCTCATAATGCAGATTATTTTTCTGCTCTGTCACTTTGGTCTCAATTTTTTTATGTATGGGATCAAAGAGCAGGCATATCAGTTTTCCTCACTATGCAATATAGAGGCATGTGCACAACTTCATTGTGGTGGGGATGGCCATGCAGTCAGCCCTACCTAGCAAGGTGAAAGACAGGGGAAAAACCAGGAGGAAATGCAAACCTGAATCCTGGAAAATTAGTTTCCCCACATGGTTCAAATGCTCCCACTTACTCTCCAGTGGCACTGGATTGCACCATGGGGACCCATACAGCAAATGAGAGAATGAAAGGAGCAATATCAGAACATTTGTGATCAAAAATTAAGTGGGGCCCATAGGTTACATGTAAACCCCCAATAAAAATCCCCCCATTTTAAATTTAAAAAAAAAACCCTAGAAAAACTGTTTTTACTTCATAGGCTCTCTAATGGCTCATTCAGCCTTCTCAAAATAAAAACAAAACCTAAAGTCCCCATTTGAGCTTTTCTTGTCTACCTTTCCATTCCTAGATGAGGATTGAAAGAAAGGGAAAGACCTCAAGCGCTCTAGAAATTACTCAATGCTCTTTTAACCTCTAGATGGCACTAGAAAATACCAGCCATATTTCTAGACTGCAGTCAGTGAACTTTTTTTTTGAACACATGGGTACAAGATATAGAGAAGTGTATCTTTTAATTTTTCTTGGGGGCTTTGGGGAAACAAATACTCTAACTCCAAATAAATTGTTTCATTGATATAGTTAAAATAAGAGAATAATTTTACACAGCAATTTCCATAAAACAGTGGCATCCTGTGGCACCTTGTCTTATTTAGGATTTATGAACCTGGCAGTCCAGGAGGACATTATGAGTAACTGACCTTGTCTTTTAACAACCTGGGACCATTTTGACCTATTTGTGCAATTTGTGGTTGACACCTGTCTCCAGTTCTGGATAGGGACCCTGACACTTTAAAATATCCAGAGCTAAACGAAAGTGTCCAATTTTTGCTGCCATGCCTGTATTTCAGCTCCCTTGCCATACCCTTGGTAACTTGTGCAAATCCTGAAACATTAACCTATTTCTGTATCAGATATTTAAGCCTCTTGTTTGCATTTGCTATCTAGGTTGCCGGTACCATGGCAAGCTGTACTAAAGATCCAGGTAGATTATCCACTGAATGGGGTGTATCCTGGAATTCTGGGGTTAGACACACTCATCCTCTGCTCAGATTACAAAATGCCCTGATGCTCATGAATGTCTCTTTGACTGCAATATCTCTTCTTCTGAAGACACAATTCTTCACTTTGAGGGTCCCAGTACCCATCTGAAAAGGAATTCCTGCATTCCTTGGGGCTACAGGGGCCAAAACATAAAACAAAGTAGCAGATTAGAAGTGATTGGGATAGCAACAGGCAAATGGGAAACATTTGTTAACAAGACCAGTTGGGTTCATAAGAAGAAAGAGCAGGGAATTGGGAATCAACTAGGAAGCCATATACATTGGGACCTCTTCTTCTTATAAAGGTCTCCATTGTGCTTTTATATGCAATCAAACCAAGGAGATGCTACAGCAATCCATGTTTGGGTTCAGTTAGCATCCCTTAGGATAGGAAGGGTATTATGGTAGATGATCAATATGCTGTAAACGTTTAGTCTGGAGGAAACTGGAATGATGCTGACACACACTCTTTTTAATATTCATCCATCTACTCAATCTGACCTCTGCAGCACTTTTAAATAGCCCCTGTGCTTCAGAAGTAGTAGTTTGAAGCAAAACAGAAGAAAAGATAGCATTGCACCTTTAATGTTAAACTGAATGGATCTGGCCAATTTTCAAACCAAGGTGATAATTTACTTGTAGAGAAAATAATGTATCTGGTGATGTTTCCACAAACTCCAGATTAACTAAAAAGGACATTTTATAAAGGACTCTAATGATATAAGAGCTCTGCTATCAAAAAAACAGAGTAGTTACTTGTGTCATTTCTTATTTAGGGCCACATGTCTCTTTAAATGGGATACATCTGAACACATACTGTGATATAAATCCTACCATATCTGCAGCCTGAATAATTGATTAAAAGCCTGGAAGAGAATATCTGTGGAACTGCTTTTATAACTTTAAAACCCAGTTCACAGCTTGCTTTCAAAACTTGGTCTCTTAGTGGTAAAAGATGCCTTTTTAAAAGGACAATTAACTTGACAAGAATTTTATGTTCAATCATTTCATACAATTTCAGAATCAGACATCTAGTTGTGTGTGTTTTTTTAAAAAAAGACTGGAGATTCTGCGGAGAGAGGAAAGGAAACAAAAGAAAATAAATCAGACCTGACATTACAGATTTCTAGCTTTATCATCACAACAATCTAGGAAGCCTCTGAGCCAATTGCTATGAAACACGGAAGAGAAACTGCTGAACCCTCAACATGAGCATGCTCAGTGTATGTGCCGGCACAGAAAACAAGGAAATACAGAAGCGCAGGAATCAATGTCTCACGATGCTGTTGTTTTAACATTCCCTATCACAAGGTTGATGGGGGTTTTTTAAATAAAAAAATATAACCCTGGGCCTTTTTTAAAAATCATTTTTCTCCCCTCTGGACAGCAACTGTAGGATTCAGTGTTCATTTTTTCCCCCTTTCTCAGTTATCATCCTGCCACTGACTGCTCCTGAAGGGTTTGTCCATCTTGTTGTTTCCATCATGAAAAGAACAGTTCTCTCCCTCCCTCCACCAAACAGCAGTTCTTCAGATGTGCGTAATGTTCCCCTTCCTCTCCCACCCATTTACCCATGACTTTTTCTGAGCATGCCCAGTAGGAATGGTTTATAATTATACCAATTCACTTACAGGAGGGGGGGGGGAGAAGAAAGATCCCACTGACTTAGATTGTCAGATCCACAGTCCTTCTGTTTGCTGAAATAAGGAGTGTATATATGTGTGTCTGTGTATGTACACTATGCCGTGTGTTTGTTTGTGTAGCTATGGGGCGAGAAAGGGGAACACAGTTCGTCCAGCTTCCCCTGCTTTGCTTTCTTTTCCAAGGCCCTTGTGAAAGACCACCACCATCACTTTTTGTGTGTGGAGATACTGGTGTCCACGGTTACTTCTAGAAGGGTAATTTAAATACTCAGTTTGGTGGTTTGTTTGTTTTTTTGCAGAAGGTAGACTGGCTCCCGCGTCATAGGATGATGCAACATCTGCAGAAGCGCTGTCTGCTGCCCCCCACAGATGGTGGTGGGGTCACGGGCGCGAAGTAGGCGTGGACTTTAATATTGGGCAAGTGGGTCTGAAAAGACAAACACATATTTGTTCCCATTTAGAAAAGGTAGAAAACTTGGAAAGGTAAGCACTACAAAGGTGGAGAGGAGGCTATACACAGAGTGACACTGAACCCATCGAGTTGCAAAGTAGTTTTCTGAAGCAGCAAAGAGGAGTTATTAAGGAAGATGTTGAACTCTCCCTCATTATTCTCATCCCGAATTTTGTGTCACTAGAAAATGTATATATTTTTATTTTATTCCTATTCAACCACTATTTTACTTACCAGTGATGGAAACCACTTCATTTTGAAGGGGTTTCTAACTCTTTGAAGATTTGTGGGCTTTGTTGCAAATATGCAGATGCGGGAGCCCTGATATTGTCCTTAAACTTTGCATCCCATTATAGCTCTCAATGAATGTGAGGACAAAGAAGGTTGACTTGCCTCTTCTTATTTCATTCACTGAGCATATTGTATGCTCTCCAAATAGAGAAATAGTAATTCAACTTCTGCCTCAAAGGAGCCCCTCATCCCCAAAAATAGAAAACTGAAATTTTGTAACCTAAGTAACTTATGACCAGGATATACTTGCAGGTTGAAGCACAGACCTGTGCATAGTACTAATGCACAAACCTTTCACTCTTCACTGAATATCTGAGATGCAACTGTACATTGCCCTATATGTTCAAATTTATCTTTAGAACCATTAGGTGATTTTAAAAAGGCTAGTTTTTAAATGGTAGGCAAGATAAGTGTACAGTGGTGCCTCGCATAGCGAGGTTAATCCGTTCCGGATTAACCTTCGCTATAGCGAAACATCGCTAAACGGAATAAAAAAAGCCATATGGCTTGAAAACTCATCGTTAAGCGAGGTTCTGCCATAGCGCCGCCATTTTTGCGCCCTCGGTAAGCGAGGGCAGGGCGCGAAAATGCGGCGCGGACCTTCCGGCGGCCATTTTGGAACCGCCGATCAGCTGTTCTCCACCGCTTCGTTATGCGATATTCGCTAAGCGAATCGCTTAGTGAATATCGCAAAGTGAAAAATTGCCATAGGGGCCATCGCTGAGCGAATGCTCCAGTGATGGCCCAGAGCGCCTCATTAAGCGATTTCATCGCTCAGCGAGGCGCTCGTTAAGCGAGGCACCACTGTATAGTGTGGAATTCAGCTGTCTAGATGGTCTCCTGCACAAACATGTGCAGCTCTTGTGCTTTCTTCCCCAACCCCTACAGTACTGTATTGTCAAATCCTTTTGAGTTTAGCATGCCTTTAGCTTCCTTAAGTTTTGCACCCTAGAAATCGAAAGTATATTCCAGGCCCAGTCCTGGCTTAGTTTCTTTTGTTGAATCTGTATCTATGGCTGCAGATTCACCAATACATCCAGAGTGGACCAGAGTGAAAAAGGCATGCAATTTATCCTTCCTCCAGAAAGAGCATTAAGATTTGCAGACGTCACTGCCTGCACTTGGTCAGAGCTAAAGATGGATCCCATGTACTGATTATAGAAAATATGCTGATTCATGAAGGAGCAAGATCCAAAAGATGGCTAAGGAGCAAGGTGGGAATAGGTATAAATAGTGAGTAAGGTGCTGTGTTGTTAGACCAAGAAGTATAGTGGAAAGGATGTGCTCCATTTTACTATGGAACTGCTCAACAATAGCTATTAATGGTTTGAAGGGGCACTTAAGACCAAATAGCTTTAAAAAACATCTGCTTCCACTGGAGATTAAAGCTTCCAGAACTAGCTTGTTGATATAGATTGACACAGCAGCCTACATTTTTGTATTCTCTTTAGGGTCTGGCTATGGGGTCTGTTGTGATGAATTGGCTCTGAAAACAGGAAGGATGGGAGAGGGAGGAGCTGAGAGAGGGTGAGAGGAAGAAGGTGAAACCAGTTCAGTTATGTCTAGCTTCTACAGTTTCTCAGGTGAAAGTTGCCAATTATTTGTAGGCTTTCTTAGCACTCCAGAGGTTTGGAAGCTAACTTCTCTACTGGTATTGCAGAGGACTGCATGAAACCACACCCCCTCAGACCCCAGATTCTCATCTACTATGGAATGCAACTCAGAGGCAGGGCTTAAATAATAACCCACCAAATTTGCTTGGTGGCAGCTTGGGAAAAGAATCAACAAGCACAGGAGACAGAATGTACTTGTGTCTGGTTAAAAAAAATGAATGTACTTGTTTACCCTGAGTCTCTTGATTCCAGCCCGTGAAATCTGTTGACAGTCATACAATTCTATTCTCTCCAGGCTGTGACAGCTCTTGAGGTGTTCCAAGGAGGCGTCTGTAATCAAAGGGCAGTTGTCCAACTCGATCACCTCCAGGCGATCATGGGCACAGGCACCATTGCCCAGATGGCGAATACCATCATCAGTGATCAGCTCGCAATGTGATAAACTCTGCCACCATGTCAAAAAACAAAGAAATAGCAGGAGGTATACACAGAAGATTTACTATACAGTCCTTTCAAGATTCACAGCTTATCTTGCCTAGGAGGGTAGAACCTGACAGATACCTAAATTATCCCCAGTGATTATGTTCCAAAGAAATTCTTCAGCAAAGTCTGTGACTGTAAAACCAGTCTATTCTATGGGCTCTGGCTGCAAATATGCTGAACACATGTATGCTATCCCCATGAGACAAGAGCTCCAGTTTCAGTCCCACCACTGCATACCATGCTGATCCCTCTGCCTGCATCAGGCTCCCCTTCTTTCCCTCTGTTTCAACCACAGCTCAGGGGTTTAGGTATCTGGCCATGGAGCAAGAGATTGGGAGTTTGATTCCCAATGTTCCTCCTTGACAAGAGCTGGATTCAATGATCCATAGGGTCTCTTCTAAGATTATTACTATAATCATATGCTTTATCTGACCTTTGCTTTCACCTCTATATCATTTGTGTTATTTGAACAGCAATAATACTTAGAGATTGGCACAAACTGCTGGTTCGGTGGTTCAGCACAGTTCATTTCCTGGACAAAGAGCTGAACCATGGTTCGGTGCCCTGCCCCCCTCCAGGGGGTACCCACTCAGCAGCAGCAGTCCATCTCACCTCCTCCAGACATTGCATCTGAGTGGATACCCCCTGGAGAGGGCAGGGTGAACTACAGACCACCTGTTTAGCCAGGAAACAAACCGTGCTGAACTGCCGAACCAGCGCTTCATGCTGATCTCTAATAATCATGCTTAGCACTACTTTGTGAGCAGCAAGGAAATCTAATATAACATTACTGAAGTAATCCTTACAGTAGCCTTAGGAAGCAAATATTGTCTCAGCAATGCTTATAGATGGAGGAACTGAAGCCAAAAGATGGTGGTTTGCCCAAGGTCACCTAGTGAATTCATGGTTAACATGGGATGTAAATGCAGGGAACTTTCTGGCTCAGAACCTACAAACTCAGCCACTAGCTAAAAGCTAACTTGGCTGGGCTCTGTTGTTACCAAATCTGCTGCTCTGTTTACGGATTTCACTATACAACTGAACAGCAAAGCACTTAAGGATTCATTTATTAAAGCACCTTGTTCAGATGCTGCAGTTGCCATTTTAATTGGACCCACAACACTGTACCCTTTTAATGTTCCCTAATCACTGAAAAATGTACAGCAAAGTGCTTCTCCAAATTATGTCTCTGCTACAGCACAGTTGAAAGAACAAGATCTGAGCTTCTGGCTTTGGATAAGTTGTACCATCTTCTCACATAAAAACCCAAGACTCACCAAAACTTGGAGCCGTGGACAGTGTATAGAGAGCTGGATTAATGTGCTGTCTGTTATCTGAAAGAAAGCAAAGTATACACATTAAAAGGTGAAAATAGTGTTCCTACGAAGAATTTCAAAACATATTATATCTGTTTTGCATTAGTCCTCCTTTAAAACTGACATCAATATTTCCAGCAAACCTGAGACAGATTTTCCTCAAGAGACAGAAGACTGCTCACAGTCTTCTGTCTCTTGAGGAACTTCCTTCCACAGTTGGCTGGTTGACAGGAGGAAAATGCTCAGAGGAATTTGAGTCTCACTCCATTCATTTAGTATCTCTCTGGGGCAGAAGTTAAAGAAATTATGTTTTTGGAGCACATTCACCAAACTCCACCAGCCAGCCTGGGCAGTGATCATGTTGGCTAGCACACTCAAGAACATATAATGCAAAAAGAACTTTTCCATTCTCTGGGTTATCTGTCACATGGGTACATATCTGTGCTCTGTAAATTTTAGTTACCTAGAGTGCATGCCATGGTGACTTCATAGCAGGAACTCTTGCAAACAGTGACCAATTAGATAGGGCAAATCTTACTAGTATTCAGCAAAGCATCTCTTAAGTTCTTAAGCAAGAATGTGGACTCAGATCACATAAACAAAAATATATTAGTCTTGGCAAGAGACTTTGAGTGTGCTCTCTTGCTTTGTACATTTAAAATATATTGGTAGATCATGGAGAGACAAGAAAGAGAAAATCTCCACTTCCAAACTTGATTCAAAGCATGAAGCCCTCATCCATATTTCTTCTTCATTCTGCTTATTCTCAGGTTGAGAACAAAAGAGAGCAATGTCAGGTGGTCCACTTATCTTATTTGAGTTATAAATCATTTCCCTGCCTTGATAAGGCTTAATTATGAGAAATACTAACTCTGATATTCCCCTCTTCATCAGGCATGTTTTGATTTTCCCTAGGCTAATGGCTGCTGTGAAGAACAGCACCTCTGTACTGTCTCTTCCTCTCTCTCTTATGTATGGCAATGGAGCAGAGTATTAACGGTAATGTGCAGTAGCAGATCAGACACATGACATACACAGCAACAGAACAGACACCCTCTCCCCACTCCAACTCCACATCACTGCAGGTAAACCTGCTCCCTTCTTGCTTGAAATGGTCAATGATGTGGGTGGAGAAACTCTCTGCACTACGATGCCCATGTACAAAATTATCACTGGGCAGATTAATGAAAGAACGAAGAAAAGGTGCAGTCATTAGCAATCGTTCAGAGAAAGGTGTCATTCAGAAAGACACTTTTCACCTTACCACTATAGGAAGTTCATGAACACCTTTTCTTGGGCGTGATGAGTATCTAAGGTTCTTATGAAATGGAAACCGCAAGTTGCCATTTCTAGTATTGTAGAAGCAATGCATGCTCCCAACTTTAATGTTTGTGGTAATGTGGTAAAGCTTACTTAAGCAGCCACATTTCTTAATGAACGATGACATGTTGCAAACCACAGTCCAAATGACTGGCCACATTTTTAAAAAAAATAAAGAATGGGATTGCTGTAATCAGACATAGATGATGCAGATATAGAAATACATAGGTGACATTGCAATTACCTGAACACACTCCTCCAGATCCATTTTTTCTAGCTCATGACAATTCTGGAGAGAAAAAGAGAAAAACAAAACACAGAGAACTAATAAATACTCACTTTGTTTTTCAAGGCCTGAATTGGTCAGCTTTCCTTTTATTAATATAATATGACTCCAGGCTAGTTCCACTTACTTCAATGGATAAGCTGGTTGAAAAATGAGGCCAATCTGTACTTTAAAAATAAACATTCTTTTCTAGGATCAGAGTTTCAAGTGCAAGATGATCCAACTGCATATAGTGCAGTACTCTGCACAGAGATTTTAGAGGAAATTCATTTTGCTCAGCAGATATCAAGCTGAATCTACTCTATTTTACTACACCCTTACCCCAATCCAGCTCTACCAAAAAATAAAATAAAATAAAAAATTCCCACTCAGGATAGATTCTGTAGAGTTCTGGTACTTCCAACAGGATTACTCCAATGACACAGCCTTTCCTAATATTTGGAACTTCTAATATCCTGGTATATGGGATTACAACCCCCAAAATCCACATCAAACAAAACCAATGATCAGTCACGATGAGAGCTGTAGTTAACTTTATTTCAGAATCATGATAGGGACAGGTTAATCCAGAGATATGAAAGAGACCTATTCTGGAGGGCTGCTGAGGATGGAGGTAGGCAGAGAATGATGGCCATGATGGGAGACAGGGGCATGGAGTGTGCTAAGAGTCATTAAGTTGATTCTGCTTTATGGTAACCCTTTTCAAGTTTTCTGCATATAAAGTACTCAGGAGTGGTTTACCAGTTCTTTCTTTTGTGGGAAGCTCTGCAACCATGTAACTTACCCAAGGGCCCACAGGATGGCTTCTCTCAGGAGACAGAATGTGGAACCCCAATCTCTGCCTACACAGCCAAGTGGTCCAAACCCAGTGAATTAATTAATTAGATTTGTATACTGCCCGATTAGTGCAAAGGACTACTCTGGGTGGTTTATTATTTATTTATTTATTTATTATTAGATTTTTATCCCGCACCTTCTAGACAAAGTCTACTCAGGGCAGCTTACATAAAATCATTCATAAAATACATATACAGTTAAAACAACAATTTATATTAAAAAGATTAACACTGGTCAAGATGGAAAGAAATAAGGAAAACTAAATAAAAAGAAAAATCAAGTATTGATAGGAGGAAAGCCTGCTTAAAGAGCCAGGTCTTTAACGGGCTCTTAAAAACACCCAGTGAGGGTGCCAGGCGAATCTCTGATGGCAAACTGTTCCAAAGTTGAGGGGCCACTGCCGAGAAGGCTCGATTTTTTGTTCTTTCTTTTCGGACCTCTCTCAGCGTTAGGCCCCTCAACCATCTTTCCTGGCTATGACGAGTGACTCGAGTAGATCTAGGTGAGAGAAGGCGTTCTGCTAAGTATTGAGGTCCTAAACCATTTAGGGCTTTATAAGTCATCATTAACACTTTAAAATCAATGCAGAAATGAATGCGCAGCTAATGCAATGCAGCCAGAACAGGAGAGATATGCTGGTATTTTCTTGCTCCACTAAGTAGTCTGGCTGCCGCATTCTGCACCATTTGAAGCTTCCACATCAATCTCAAAGGTAGCCCCACGTAGAGCGCATTGCGGTGGTCTAATCTTGAGATTACGAGTGCATGGACCAGAGTGGTGAGGGCTCCACCATCAAGATAGGGACGCAGCTGGGTAATCTGCCACAGATAGTAATAGGCGGAGCAGACCACTGACGCCACCTGGGTTTCCATGGTGCCAGGTCCAGATGTACCCCCCAAGCTGTGAACCTCACTCTTCGCGGTGAGAGTCACCCCCCAAAAGAGAGGGAGTTTCCCAAGCCGCTAATGGAGGGGCCACCCACCCTCAAGACCTCCATCTTGTTCAGGTTCAGCCTCAACCCATTCAAGTGCATCCATTGCAGTACAGCCCCCAGACAGCGCTGAAGAGACAGAACGGCATCCACTGAAGTAGGTGAAAAGGAGATGTAGAGCTGCATGTCATCAGCATATTGATGGCACAAAGCCTCACACCCTCTGATGACCCCACCTAACGGCCTCATATAGATGTTAAACAGCATTGGGGAGATGATCGAGCCCTGCGGAACCTCACAATTGAGACTCCACAGGGCCGAAACACTCTCCCCAAGCTGTACTCTCTGAGGACGGTCCTCCAAGAAGGATCAGAGCCAGGCAAGAGCCAGACCACTGATTCCCAGCTCGGAGAGCCTCCCCAGGAGGATACCGTGGTTGATGGTATTGAAGGCGGCTGAGATGTCGAGGAGGACTCACAAGAACATTTCCCCCCTATCAGCCTCCCTCAATAGGTCATCCAACAGTGCAACTAATGCCTTTTCTGTGTCATTGCACGGCCTGAAGCCTGACTGGAATTGATCCAGGGTATTGGTTTCATCCAAAAGAGCCTGAAGTTGATCAGCCACCACCCTCTCCACCAATTTACTGAGGAGGGAAACATTGGTGACGTGCCTATAATTGCCAATATTGTCTGCCGCCAAATTAGGTTTCTTCCTAATGAGTGTCTCCTTGAAGGCAAGAGGGATCTTGCCCTCCTGGAGAGACCGATTAATTATAGCTGTAGCCCATTCCATTGTTATAGGCCTGGCTGCTTTGATTAGCCAGGCCGGGCAGGGGTCAAGAGAGGAAGTGGTGGCCCGACAGCGATCAAGCGCTTTGTCCACCAAATCTGGTGTCACAGGCTGAAAGAGCTCGAGTCTTGCTGGGCAAGACGGAGCGCTGGACATCTCTGCTCGGTCCACAGTATTTTAAAAAGGAGAGAGGTCCCGGCGGATGGCCTTCACTTTAGCTTTAAAAATGCTGCAAATTGATCAGGTGAGATATTAGTCAGAGGCCCATCACCTAGACCAATTCTGGATAGATTGCGAACTATATGGAAGAGTTCCGCCTGCTGATTTGAAGCTTTGCTTATCCGGTTAGCGAAGTGTGATTGTCTAGCAGCCCCCACCTTAGCTAGGTAATGGTTAGTCACGATCCTGACAGCAATCTTATTATACACCGTCGGTTCATCTCTCCAGGTACACTCTAGCCATCTTCTATTTCAGTTTACAGTTCATTATCCAGCCAATTCAAAACCTTGAACACACCCCTTAACCAATGGAAAAAATTAACATGCTATGAATTGCTATGATATTTCAACAGTCTAAGAAGTTGTTTGCAAACCCCATCTGTCATGGTTTAGGTTACTAAGGCTAAAATGTGATTTATTAATGGGATTTGTAGTCATGGAGTTTTGCAGAAGGAATCCATATTGGTCTGTGTTAGCATGACTGGATGCTTTGAGAAGCTGTTTCTCCTCGAGTGAGCTGGAATTTTCCATGAAGCTGCCTTGGCCAGATACAATAAGGAGCCAAGACACAACATCTTGACAAAGGACAACACCTGCACATCCCGTGGGAAATGAAGGTGGAGTGTGAAGAGACAGCCCTTTCCGCTGATTGGTTAACATCACAGAACTGTGGAGAAGAAGGGTGGTCCCAGCATGAAAGAAAATGGAGAATGGAGACAGACAGAGAGAGAGAGAGTTTGGATTTTAGAATGATTTTTAGTATTGATCTTAGGATGGATTTTTGAGTTCCAAATGCTAGTTTTTACTGTTATGTTAAGATGTAGTTCAGAGTAAGGTTAGAGAAAGGGGGGCTATGCCTAGCCTACCTTCTAAGCTATTTTAGAGTTTTTTATTTTATTTTTGTAGCTGGAATTTGCTAAGATTCTAACTGCTTTAATTTATGGAAATGTACTAGAATGCTGCTTTTGCAACAAACTGAATATCTCTAAATTCTTTATTTTTCTAATAAAACAATAATTCTTACAATCCTAAGTTTGGTCACTTGAACAGCAAATCTGCCAGTATTAAGTGACAGGCCACAGAGATGCTACTTGAGTCCATTACTAGTCTGAGTTTTGTTTGTTCTCAATTAATTGCTTTTTAGAACAGACTTGGGAAAAGGGTAAGTGGTACTGTCTGGCTGGGTTACCTGGACTCTGCTCAGCTGTTTTAGGAGTACACTTACGCCTGGAACCTCTCTGTTCAAGTATCAGGTGTTCTTTTAGAAGACCCTGGGTGCTCACACCATCCGTCCTGCCTGTTTCTTGCTGAATGTCATAGAACTTCCCATTACTCTCTGTGTGCACAACTGCTAAAACTAGGAACTGCCTTCTAAGCTCTCCTTCCCAGGACTTTTGTGATAAACATGCAGTTCTTCCTTCACTCCGTTCACATTTTAAAAAAGTAGAAAGGTACCGTGTTTAAATAGTACAGTACAATAAGGGAAGGGGCAACTGAAACCATGCATCATCACCTCTCAGCTCATTGCTCGTTCTCCCTCTCCACTTCACCTCTGATAACAGAGGCAAGAGGGAAAAAAGAAGGGCTGAAGCAACTAACTATAAGGAGTTGAAGAATGAGTGTGGGACAGCTTTTGCACTCATCTCTTGATTATTGTCTTTCCTGTTAAGGTAAGCCCCACACATTCCACATACTGCACTTCATATATGAACAAGGCAGACATGTGAAGTCCTTGTCGTATTTAATTTGCTCCTTAGTGAACTTTGCCTTCTTCATTCAGCTAGCTAGCCATGGAATAGAATGTGTCAGAAATGGACTGCAAGAGGCTACTGTCCTGAGCAGTTGAGTTCATACACAGTTATTAGGAAGTTACATTTTAACAGTAATTGTTATATAACTTTTTGAAACCCTCACCTAATGCAATTAATTTATGCTTAGCAGTGTAACATATTTAAGTCACTTGCTACATTACTTGCTGCTTTCTTATTTTTCGAGCAAACTCTTAGTACTGATCAAAGAATGTAGCATAGCATTTGAAAAATTCTGCTTCAACTGCTTAAAAACGGTAAACAATAATTAGGAAGCATTATGCTAAAAAAGTAAAATATTCTGGCTCATTACGTCTGAAAAGTAACATTCTGAAAGGTAATTCTATCACCCTATTACAAAAAAATCAAACCACTACAGGCAAATAGATCAATTGTAATCTATTACTCCCACGTTCTGCACTCACAGGAATGCAGGAAAAGAATCAGGCACTTACTCGAGCTAGAGTTGTAAAGCCTACATCTGTGAGTTGAGAACACCGAGCCACTTCCAATATTCTGTGCAGAAAATAAAATACAGTAAATTAACCATCTTCGCTCTTCAGATCCCATTTTTGAAATCTCATGACCATGGTGAATGTGGCTGAGAATTCCCTGGGTCACATACTTTTAAGTAATTGGGGACATGATACCTGCCCAGCTTCCTGGGCTCCTTCTGTGTAATGACTATCCTATTGAACACATTTAGGAGGAATAAGCAAAGCCCATTAAGCTCCTGAAACTAAATATTTATTTGTATCTTTGAGATTTCTACTATGTTTCCCAGCAAACATCCTAAAGATTTTATATAGGAGAGAAAAATCATTATATCTCTTTATTTTATTTGCATTATACCTCTCTTTATCTTATTTGATATCTCAGTAATTTCCCTTCTCAAACACCAACAATGCCTCATACCTTGTGGGGTTTCAGAGAATCTAAGTCCATCTCTACTGTCACTTTGGGAAGATCCACATGGTGGTTTTTGACAAATGAAGCTAGCTTTGGAAAGGGATGTGTGGACCGGTAATAAAACTGTTATGGATTCTGTTCTATTTTGTTCAATTACAATTTTGTACTTTTTAAAAGTTACTCTCTTAAAATTCTGTGGTAGAGTACGTAAATATACACACATATATGTAGAAATACATAAATAAATAAAATACAGGGACCTGACTGGACCTAAAGTCCTGTTGATGCAATAACAGTGACCATCACTATTCTTAGTACTCAGTTTACACTTTACATAAATAGAGGTCCTTGTGTGGAGAAAAAAAATCAGACTGCTTGCACTACAGTCTGCTGCAGAAGCAGTTTGACTCTACAAGATCCTGGCCAAAATTCTAAGGCCCAACTGCTTTCATGAACTGTTGATCCTTCTCACATTACCCATTTTACCCAGAATACATTACAGGCAGCCCTCTAGATTAAAGCTTACTTACCTTAGCCGTGGACAGTTTTGCCCTAAGGCATTCAAGATGGCGTCAGTGATGTTGGCACAGCCAGAGGCGCACAGAGATTGTAACTTGTGGCACCCTCTACATATTGTAATGAGGCCGTCATCTGTTATTTGCTACAAAAGGAGGGGTAGTCGAAGTGGTTAATAGGGGAAAATCAGAGTTAGGATGGTGCCTTTGGACACAGCACCACTGCAAACTCTAAACTGCACACTGGCTAACCATGCACAAACCATTCTGTCAGTAAAACACTGAATGAACGACTAACTGGCAACCACCATGACAAAAAGAAGGATGTCAACTACAGCCTCCTAAAATCAGCTTCTTTTCTAGGCTAAACCATCCATTTTTGGATATTTTCAGAATATTTTCCTACATGACAAAGAGATGCTTCCTCTTCCACTTCCTACATTAATTCACATACACAGATTTCTAAATACATGCAAAAAATTAAATTTGGAGTCAAGGTCAGCACAGTGTTCCAAACCAACAGAAAAAAAATCTCTAGCAAAACTTTGAAAGGCATGCTCAGATCTGGGATTTGCTATACAGTTTGGTCTGATTTGCTAATATTTGCTAAAAGTAAAAACATCAGGGCTAGTTTGGGAGATTTCTTCAACATATCAAAATGATATTCAGTGTTTGAATGGAGGGTTGCCAACTTATAATTTTAAAAGCATTTGGTAAATCAGCAGCGTCTAGGGCGTTCTTAGTGAATGAGGTTTAGAGAGTTAAAGCCAGAGCCCAATGGTGGAACCAATGTAATACTTCAAAATTTCCTGGCTCCAAACAGCTGTCTTCCTTAATACAACAGATGATACAAAGTGTAAGAGAAAAATGATAAATGGACAGGTAAAATATATGAGACATAACAACCTAAGAGAAATGGGAATTTGGGCTAGATAAATGGCTGTGATTCTAGTCACACCTTAGAAAATTTCTTTTTTTGGACTACAAAATCCCTCTGCCAGCATGGCCAGGAGATTCTGGGAACTGTAGTCAAAAAACCCAGGTTTTCTAAAGCCCTGATTCTAATATGCTAAGGAGAATGAAAAAAAAATAGAATAAGTCATGAAGGACTAGTACACAGTCTAAAAAGAAAGGTGAGAGACAAATGTTATTGAAGCCTTGTGTCCCATTCTAAATGTATGTGGAGAAAAAAGTTGCAGTTGTCCACTGGTATAGGAAAAAAACTCTTATGTGCTCAGAAGTTCTAATTATTATATAGGGCTCCTATATACAATTATATGTTCTTGGCACTTAATCTCTGTTACGCTGGCATGAAGTTGTAACAAGAGGATTTTGCCCAATGTATAAAGAGAAAATCTAGGAGTATCCCTCCCCTGAGAGTGAGCGCTCCAGTCCCTGTTGACAGTGATCACCCAAATGGATGACAACCCCTTACAGAGGTCTTTGCAATATGCAAGTTCTCACATATATTCCCACCCACTATTCTGTGGGTATTGTGTTCTTATTACATAAGATGAAATAAGATAATGATTGCAAATTCTTGAAACCAGCAGGGACAATATGAAGTGCTATAGGTCTGGGGTCCCCAACCCCTGGTCCATGACCTTGGCAGGACTGGACCACAGAGACAAATCTCCCGCCCCTGCACGTACGCCCCCCCATGCATGCACACAAATACACATGCCCCCACGCATGCATGGATGCCCCGCCCACCCGTGCGCACGATCCACAGTTTGGAAAACGTTGGTGACCACTGCTATAGGTGACAAAAACACTTCTTGGGGTGTGGGTGTCCTAATGCACAATTCAGTTTACATGCCAGGCTGTGCATGTGAAACAAATGGACTGATGTGGACCAACTGCTTACCAAGCACGTCTGCAAATTCAAAGTTACCAGTTCAGGACAGTGTGCTCCAATGTACTTGAGAGCTTCATCCTCCAGCTAGAACAAAAATATGTGAGAAAAGGAAGGGGGGAAGAGAGAGAAGCAACTTTAATAAGACCCACTAAAAACCTATACTGAGTGTTCCCTCTCTTTTTAAGGAGTAGCATTCCTAAAATCCCAGATTGCTGAGAGTCTCATTTTCTATTTTAAAAAGCGAAGGTTCCGTTTCTCACAGCCCAGAATAGTTAATGGGACTCAGGAGTAGCTATTATGGCTTCAGAGCTGAATAAAGCAAAACCAGCCAGCCAAGCAAACCACTAGCATGACACCTTTCACAGAGAAGGTAAAATCTGAAGAAATTGTTTGATTGCTAGGTCCCCACCCAACCACAGAGGCTATTTTTGAAATGTAGTAGTCCCAGAATTTCTATGACAAGGTTCTTAAAATACTTTGCCTTCCTGTAACTTTCTAAACTCAAAAAACTCTCTCCACCCGTGACCCATGTTTACTCAACTGAACATACTAGCTCCTGATCTTCTTCTGGTACAGTGTGAACTTGTTTTTCTTTTTTAAATTATTGTGCATTTCATATTGCAATATCTGATTAACAAAAAGAAAAAAATATGATTAACACAAATAAAAACTAATTCTTAAAAAATTGGTCTTGCTGTGGACATGTGAACATGGTGTTTCTGAACTTTATAGACTTACATAGGGAAGGATTTCTTTGACATGTTATTCCCCCTCCCTACAACCTGTCTGAGCTTACAGGTGGGTTTGAACATGTTTATGAGTAATCTGGAAAAAGGCAAGATTACTCATAAACATATTTGAACTTGCTTATTTATGGGTTCAAATGTAGGTTGCAGAGAAAATGTGAAATGTCCTAGAAATCCTCCCACTACTTATAACAAATTGCATATAGGTTTCACATAAGATGTTTGTTTGAAAGGGGGAAAAATTTCCTTGGCTAAAGCAAAGACTGATACTGTAACTCATAAATAACACAAGTTATTTATGTTACCAAAATGTTACAGATGTCTTTGAAACAAGTAGAACAGATGGCAAATAACTGACAACAAGAGCTTTCTTTTTGTCAGTACATTTTTCTCCTTAGTACTGCTTAAATAAGGGGAAAGCTCTCATGGGATGGTGATGTAAGTCCTAAGAAACAATCCAATTTCAAGAAAAACAGTTCAATATCTCAGCCAGTAGCATAAGGAAAAAGTGTGACAAATGGCAGAGGAAATTCCAAATACCAATTCATATGGTGGATGAAACACAGCTGAGAGAGGTTTAGGAATCCTGCCCAGGAAGGTGCCATGGTATGAGGGCAGAGTTTCTACCAGAACATTTAACTCAAATCTAGACGTTTCTGAACAGTTTTGTGCAGCAGCAGAACAAGCTATATGTGTGAGTGAAAGAGATTGATGTGGATGAACATCCTGTTTCAGGGCTATAAGGTGCTGTTTGTGACTAGATGCCAATTATTAGAACTAGTACGTAGGAACCTTGGTATACTCCTAAGCTACATGTATCAGTGCTACATACACAAATATGCAATATTAGAATTTCAAGGCCTATACAAACTGTACTAAAAACATATTTGCAAAAATCCATTATACGGGAAAAGCTTCTTAATCATGAAAGCAGAATGTATCACTTCAATATTTTGCCTTTCCCCCCTATTAGGTAAGGCAATGTATTAAATAACCTAATGTTATAGGAGGAGTTGCAGGTATTTGGGCTGAATAAAGTGCAAAAAGGTATGGTCATCAGCTACCTGAGGTCAGACACCATCCTGGCTGGTATGACAGTGCACAAAACATTTGTCAGTTCATTGTCCAGCCTGCCACCTTTTAAGATCCTAACATTCAAGTGTTCCTGGCAAAACTTTGATGAAGTCACTCAAACCTAAAGTTATAGGAGGAGTTGCAGGTATTTGGGCTGAATAAAGTGCAAAAAGGTATGGTCATCAGCTACCTGAGGTCAGACACCATCCTGGCTGGTATGACAGTGCACAAAACATTTGTCAGTTCATTGTCCAGCCTGCCACCTTTTAAGATCCTAACATTCAAGTGTTCCTGGCAAAACTTTGATGAAGTCACTCACTATATTTTAAAAATATAGTGGAAGTGGGAATTTCTTAGCTGACCATCAAACATTTGTCATTGTCCAGCCTGCCACCTTTTAAGATCCTAATATTCGAGTGTATCTGGCAAAACTTTGATGAAGTCACTATGTTTTAAAAATATAGTGGAAGTGGGAATTTCTTAGCTGACCATCAGCCATAACCAATCCTCCTCTGTAGAGTAGCAGGAAATTTTATGGGTATTACGGTGGCAACAAAAGTCTTCTTTCCTTGACCTAAAGTAGATATCTTACATTAGGAGTAATATTCGAGTGTATCTGGCAAAACTTTGATGAAGTCACTATGTTTTAAAAATATAGTGGAAGTGGGAATTTCTTAGCTGACCATCAGCCATAACCAATCCTCCTCTGTAGAGTAGCAGGAAATTTTATGGGTATTACGGTGGCAACAAAAGTCTTCTTTCCTTGATCTAAAGTAGATATCTTACATTAGGAGTAAAACGTTCCTATCCTAAAAAAAAGCCACTTATCATAATGTTTGTGTGGCTAAGATTAAGATACACAGAGCTTCTGTTCCATCATGCTACTGTTCAAATAACCCTGCAACGCACTTCTCTTTTCATCCTTCCCTAAGCTTAGAACTGAACAATAAGACAAACTGTGTTATTACTACTATTGTTCTTTACAAATCCCCACCCACATACCATACCATTTCTTTCTTCCTGAACATTGTTCTCTTTCTTTGGTCCCAATGTCAGATGTGTGATGCACGTTCACCTGGCTTTTTCTTTTTCTTTTTCTAAAGTGACTCTTAAAAGCTTTTTCTGCAGCTCTTCTGTTTCCTCTGAAGACCATACCTGCGTGCAGCCTTTAAGAAAGAGTGCTTTGAGTCCACCGCAGCCTCTCACTAAAGCCTGGATGCCATCTTTTGTTACTTGATCACACCATGAGATATTGAGCTGTTCCAGCAGAGGGCACCCCTCACTTGCGACATGAAAGGAGAGTGGGGCAGGGAGAAAAAAGTAGTGAGATTAATACTTACTTCAAGGACAAGGGAAATCCATCCCTTGTTTGTCATTCATTTCTTTAGCCTATGAACACTCTGAGCATGTCTCCTCTCTTCCCCAGAGTGCAGCCCCAAGGAGAACTACCTAAACCACAGAGACCTGACGGCAGCTTTAGAGGTCATGTGGGAAAACTAATGGAGAGAAGGCCTGGCCAGCTTGTGTACCTTGAATTATGGTTCTTCCACTTAAAAATAAAAATTCAAGCAGTGTAGGAGGGCCAGGGAAAGCAGAAAAGACATGGAAAGCAATAGGGAGACAAGGAGGGCTTCCCATCTGAATGGATACCAATAAAAGACTGCTCCATTTGAGACCTCCTCTAGTTATTGGATTATGCCTGCAGCACACCTGTCCAGAAGTCCTCACATTTACTCCTGAGACCAGGGAGCAGTATCCAGCAACCTCTTCAAATAAGACTAAGAAATAACGAGATGTCTCTTTTCTCAAATTCCAACTCTGCTCAGCTCCCTCATCACCAGCCAGAACATGGTAAAATGAAGAGTGTTCATCACAAAGGCATAAGAAATTTCCAAATCAAAAAGGTTCTCTGTAAGTTTAGGAATCCTAGTTGAAGTTAATAAGGATTATAATAAGGATTATGGAAGTATTGGCCTCACCTCAGTGCTTTGAGGGACAGGTTGGTTATAGAAGTGCAAGAAGCCAGATCAAGGTGCCGCAGTTTGGAACAGAACTTGCTAAGGCTAGTACAGGTACTAGAAGAGAAGAGAACATACATAGGCTCATTGCTCTGGTTTAAAAAAAAAACAAACAAACAGAAGCAGCAGTGGTGGAATTGAGGGTGCTTCCAGTCAGAAAATTTCTCACACTGCCAGTAGAGATGGGCACAAACTGCTGGTTCAGTGTATCTGTGGAGATTCTTAGTTATCCAGGTGAGGTTATCTGGAAGCTGAGTCATGGCAACTGGACTTCTTTCTTATTAGGTTGAAATGTTTTGCTACTCCTCCAAGTAGCTTCTTCAGTCTGAAGAAGCTACTTGGATGAATAGAGAAATGTTTCAACCTAATAAGAAAGAAGTCCAATTGCCATGACTCAGCTTCCAGATATGCTGGTTCAGTGGTTCCTTTTTTAATTTGAACAAATGTTCGGCACTTCCCAGCCCCACTTTCTCTGGCAGATACCCACTCAGAGCTAGGAAGCTCTGAACACCTGTTTGCATGAAAAATAAACCAGTGGGTTGTGCCCATCTCTGTCAGTCAAATGATACTATGTAGCTATCCCATTTTTTCTCTATTCCATGGATATTCTCAACTAGTATTTTATGGCAAGAAAAAAGAAGCAAAGAGTAGTGAGGGAAAACAGGTGGATTTGAGGAGATGCTATAATCTGCAACCCCTTTAAAATTCTGTGTTTAGCCACTTTCTGTGAACCAGATGATTTGCAAGTACATTAGATGGTTAGGATATGCTCAACTTGTTTTTTTTACAAAATTATAGTACTGTTAAGATGATACATGGTTAAGTTAAATTAAACCTCCGTTTTGAAGCCCAGAAACATTGTGCCATTTGAGTGTAACCTCTGAATCCATCGTTCTTTAAAATGGACATAGAGGACTGCATCTTGCATGCAGACTACAGACTTCACTATGTGAAAGTGAAGAAAGCAGCTGAGGGCAGAGAAATGAAGAAAATGAGACCCATTGATTATTTACTCTCCCTGCCCAGATCCTTTGGCTTGTTTTGTCTCCCCAATCATTCTTAGATTTTAAAAAAGGAATTGTTGGTATGTTCTGTCAAGTTACTTCCACTTTTGGTGACCCTATGAATGAGCAATCTCCAAAATGTCTACTCCTCAACAGCTCTGCTCAACTCGTCAAGCCTGTGACTTCCTTTAGGGAGTCAGTCCACCTCATATTTAGCCTTCCTCTTTTGAGGAAGAAATACACTCATATATAACTATACTCCAAGCAACTGAACAATTAAAAAGAGAGAGAGAAGGAAAAGGAAGAAAAGGGGGAAACTGTGCGTAAAACTGCAATTAGGGACAGTCTTTTTGTATTTAAAACTCTTTAAGTCTCTTTTGTGTAATTTGCGTTCTTCTGGAGATTGCAGGAAAAAATACCCTGTAAAAAGAGAGGTATGAATGGTGCAGTAAAGTTTTATGTTCCTTTCATGTTTCTTCTTTTATGTAACTTTCCAGTCCCCTTCGTTCATCAAACAGCCTGCAGATTTTTCACTCAATAATGTTGTGGAGGCTCTCAGCAACCCAACAGAATGTCCACATGCAGTGAGAATTTTGAATATGAAAAAGGCCTGGAACCCAATGGGGAGTGCTCTTTGCTTCAGTTGTCTTTTGTGGGATTTTCGTGTGCTGGGCTCCTGGTGTCATACATCTTGGACTATTGCCTGCCTGAACATTCATCTTGGATACTTTCTTTTTTCACCTCCCTCCTCTTAATTTTTCTTTTTTTTGGTATTATATTTCCATTTGGGGGGGGGGCATGACTTTTTGCTGCTATCAGAGTGCCACTTTGGGATTTATTTTGCATTTCCCCATCTCCCAGTTTCTTTGGGGACTTATTTTTCTCTCTTGGGGCTTGTGGTGGTTCTTTCCTTTCTTGGGTTATTTTTCCTACTGTCTTGGTCTCACTCTGGATCCAGAGAAGAAAAGTAAAAGACACAAAATGCTAGAGGAAAGAGAAATCTCCCCATACCCTAGTTGTGTGGTGGAGGGGCTTTGATAGTGTTGGCTTCCTTGTTTATCTTGGTTTTTGGGTCAGGAATGTATGTATGTATTTTGCCACCCTGTGGGGTAGGGTGGGGCTTACTTGTCTGATTTTTTTAAAAGTGCAATTTGGTTACTCTCTGAAGGTGTATATCTGCGAGGTGTTTTTTTTTGATGGGGAGTGGTTTTCTTTACTTCTGTGGGCATGTGTGGGACAAAGCAATTTATTTATTTGAAATATTTCTGTCCTATCTTTCTCTCAAAAAGAACTTTCTTACTTTGCCATGTGCTACTGGGCTGTGTGGGTGGTTGTCGTTGCTGTTGGTTGGCAACTCTGGCGTATTTCTGTCCTTTTGTTCTCGGTCCTGGGTTGTTAGTAGTTGCTTTAGTGAGTGGGTATCTCTGTGGGCCAAGCAGCCAGTGTACACCTGCCTGACTACTTCTCTACCTTCTTTCTATTGTGCTGCCAGACCCAGTGGGTCTGTTGTGTTGGTGGCACTAAACTCTGACTGTTGTTTTTCTCTTTTCTTAGGAACTGTTGCCTACTTTTCAAGTAGACTAATTCTCTGTTCCCTTGCCTCTGGTTTTTGAAGTACAGTGGTGCCTCAATTAGCAATGTTAATCCGTTCCGGAAAAAACATTGCTAAGTGATTTAATTGCTAAGCGATATTAAAAAGCCCATACGAATGTATTAAAACGTGTTTAATACGTTCCTATGGGCTAAAAACTTATCTTAAAGCGAAATTCCTCAATAGCGGCGGCCATTTTGGGTGCCTCTAAAGTGAGACAAAACAGCGGCGGCCATATTGGAACCGCCGATCAGCTGTTTAAAAAAGTTTGCTTTGCCATGATCACTTCCCTGCGATCATCACAAAGCGAATTTTAGCCATAGGAGACATCACTAAGCGATTGCTCCAGCGATGGCCAAAAGTCCATCGCAAAGCGATTTCATCGCTCAACGGAGCGATCGCTAAGCGAGGCACCACTGTAGTTTTAAGGGTTCTTCAGGGCTTATGGGCTGCCAGAAAACATGAATGGAGAAACATGAAATGAATGACCCCAAAAGGGCTTTCCCTTTTATGCATAATGAAAGGACACCTACACACACACAAACATGAAAACAAGAGGCACCCTCTAAAAGAAACCAAAATGAAATATAAAAAAAAATTGCCATGCATATCCCTAACTGCAATCCCACATATGTTTTGCTCAGAAATAAATCCCCTTCAATTTAACGTTTACTCTTAAGTATGTGGCATAGGAGTATAGCCTCAAATAAGTAATGTAATATTTTCGAACTCCAAAACAAATATCACTTACGCATCTGTAATCTTGGTGCAGCCATTTAGATTCAACACTTCAATATTTCTGCAGTTCTGTGCAAATGTCCTTCATGGCAGAGAAAAGGTACAACACTTTTCAGACTTATAATGACACACATTTTCTATTAATAGTATTTGACTTGTAAAACATCTCTGAAGGGTTGGGGTGGAAGTAATCAAAGGCAGCAATACAGTATTTATTTTAGTGGTAATTTGCAGATAGTTAATAGAAGATAGTTAATGGAGGCTTTTGAGCAAAACAGAAACACTGGCACAAGCAAGTTGAAACTACTTCTTAAAGATATTGGCTGTGATGTACAGAATTAGGTACACATGGAAGACTCACATAAGGTACAGCAAAAGGGAGTCCACATATACACTAAGCTGTTTCCAACAACATGCCCTACTTATAACCCACAGCCAGGCACTAGATTCATACCCTGCTAAATTTCCAAATTTCTTTTTACCATTTTCTGAAAGAGGGTTCAACAGAAGGAGAAAATTCCAGGATACATGCGTTGTATGTCTGACCAGGACTCAGGAGAACAGGAGTCAAATTCTCAATTAATCATGAAGTCCACCAGGCATGGGGCAGTGAGTGCCAACCTCACAGGTTGAATATTCTTACAAATACAATTGCATTCAGAAATCTTTCCTTCCAAGAGTTTGTAATTACCTGCAGGTGGGTTAGCCATAAGAAACTGAATGTTTTTGAAAAGATCCTGTCTTCCTGATAGGTAAAATGTTCCATACAGGAAAACCAAATGTGCACATCTGCTTTTATGCAGCTATGTTTAGAAAGTGTACATCTACTAAACAACCAATAAAAACTCTCCTTCTTTATGGAAAAAAGCATACTTTTGACTACTAAGTGCTATCATCTTGGAGAGAAGGACAGGAATAAAGCAACTGGCCAGGGATAAAGTAATTGTGGCAAGCCATAAGTGCATTTTCAGTACATTCAAAAGAAGCCTTATTTATATAATAGCTATAATGTACACCTTCTAACAAGAGAGGCGTTACAAACTGGAATGCAATCACACAAATTTTCCTAACAAGGATGACAGTTGTAAGCCTTATTGGGAGAAGCTAAAGAAGCCACAGAATGATAGCAATACTGACATTTCAGATGGTGTATGATCCAAGTTGGGATTTGAACTCAACTGAGGTCTGCTGAAACCACATTTACCATGCTACAGTCAATTAATCACAATATGATTATGGAACAGAAGTGGAGGCCTGTAACAAATGTTGCAGTGTAACACCACCCTCTGTCTCCGTAGAGTCCATAAAGAGAATTTAACTTCATGACATGCATCTTCTTCACCCAAATCTTCATTTCTAGAACAGTATAGGATACTTAGGGTTCATACAGGCCACGCCTTCCCAAAATTTCTATATGGATTGGTACATGTTTGGTATTATATGGCATTACAATAAAACTGAAGCCAGTTACCTAGAAGTTGTTATAAACCTGGATACTACATTAGAAAGTAGCTAACTCCTCCTGACACTCATATTCCAGGATCTCTACTAAACATATGAATAAAACACTTTTTTTCACCAAGGAAGCATCTGGCTTCTCTACCTTAATGCATTGTCTCCCACACCTAGGCAGCCACGTAGACTCAGCTTTCGTAAGAAACCCCCACATCTTTTAGAAATATTCTCCACAACACGTCCCTATTAAAAAAAAAAAGACCAGGAAGAGAATTTTTAAAAAGTGATCAATTAAAACAATTTGCTTTCCTTAACTTTCCATGCAGAGAGGGAGGGAGGAATTTTTCTTTAACATATTCCTCTAATATTCATTATTAGCTTTTACAATACACTGCTGTCCTCTCGCTTGATATAAATTATATCTGTGTATATAAATTCTGTCTTCCAGAAATTTGTATTCTGTTGAACAGTTATTTTATTTGGTCTATAAATAAAGGAGTCTAATAGTAACAGTTCACACAGATTCCTCTTCCTGTGACAAAATAGTTGCGGTCATCTGAATGGTTGCAGTACAGGCAGCAAAAATAAAGAGTTGGCATGCTATAATTCAATCCCTCATCAAGAATGGTTGCTGTGATGTATATACTTGTGCTCATAGTCAACTGGTTTATTTATTTTATTTATTTATTTGTTTTATTTATATCGGGCATGAAAGAAAATGATCAGCTAATTATTCCTCCTAGGCTCATCTGATTATAGCTGGGAAGGCTCAATTAGTTGTATTCTTTTCACATAATACAGTTTGTTATATAGTTCAAGAAACTCTGATATAAACAATACAAATATCCACCTTTGAAAGCTAATGCCGAAAGTTGCTAGATTCTGTATAAGGCAGTATCACTGGGTGACATCTGATGGTAGAGACCTGAAAATTTTGATGGGAAAATCAGCTAATTTGATCAGTGCCCTCTATAGTTCCAGTTTTAGAAGAGATAGTTGTGTTAGCCTGTCCTAGTGTTTCAGGCAGAAATAAAATCAAAATCAAAAATAAAGACAACAAAAACATTTTGGCACTTTGAAAACTAAGGAAGTTGACCTGCCCATGAAAGTTCACATTAAAATACAGCAGTTAATCTTTAAGGTGCCACAACATTTTTGTCTTCCTTATTTTTAATTTTTCTCTTTTTTGTTGATATAATTTGATCAGGAGCACCAAAGAAGTTTTGTCACATCCATGGAGGACAAATTGTCATGCCTTCATGTTTCCTAAAAGACCAAGGAACTTTGCCAAAATAGTTCCCCCTCTTCTTCCAACCAAGGTCTGCTCTTATGGCAGAAAAAATGGGTCAAGATCCCAAGACATTTTTGAAAAAATGAAAAAATATTAATACTAGAAAGCAAAGATTAAAAATATGGACTTCATGCATACTTATGGTATGGAAATAAGAAAGTGAACAAAGCTTTTGATAATACAGTGGTGCCTCGCTTAACGAGCGCCCCGTATAACGATGAAATCGCATAGCGATCCGTTTTTTCGGATCGCTAATGCGATCGCTCAACGGTTTTTTAATGGGGCAAAATTCGCTTTGCGAAGACCGGTAAGCGTTTCGCTTACCGATCTTCGCAAAACGAACCCCGACGATCAGCTGTTCGGCGGCCAAAATGGCCGCCGGAAGCCTGGAAATGGTCCAAAATGGCCGCGCGCAGCGTTTTCGCGCCCTCGTTAAGCGAGGCGAGGGCGTGAAAATGGCTGCCGGCCATCCTGAAGCATCGCTGAACGGCGAGTATTTGGCCCATTCGTTTAATGCGTTCCAATGGAAATCCCTGCCCCATTCAGCGATGCTTCAGCATAGTGAAGGTTAATCCGGAACGGATTAACCTCGCTATGCGAGGCACCACTGTAATATAATATGAAAAGCATTCTCCCATATATAGGAGAAATATAAAGGGAAATTTCATCGTGGTATTCCAATGTGGATGTCCCTCCATGAAGCTCTCTCAAAGGAAATTGACATAAAAGAATGATTAATAAGAAATGAATCAAGTAGGAATAATATGCCAGTGGTTTCCACACTGACAGCTATCAGAAAGAATGAAAATGGCTAAAAAAATTAATAGGATTAGTTAGAGCCTACAGAACTAGACAAGATAATATGGGGAAAAGAAAATAACCAAATCACAAAGTTGTATAAACTATTATTGGAAAGAAATATGGAACAGGAAGTAAATAAAGAAAATATGATAAAATGGATGCAGGAATTAGGTAGAACAATTCAATCAGAGGATTGTTTTTAGAGCATGGAATGATAGCCAAAAACTATTAGTAAGTACAGATTTGAAAGAAATTTATAAGAAAATATTATATATATGGTATATGACACCAGAGAAATTGGCAAAGGTGAAGAAAAATGGGAAAGATAAATGTTGAAGATATAAGACAATAAAAGGAACACTATATCATAGGTGGTGGGGTTGCGAATTTATTTGGAAATTTTGGAAAGAAATAGAAAAAATAATCACATAGATTTAAAAATAAAAATGGAGATGAAAACTGAAACTTATTTGTTCAATATGGTAAAGCTAAACTCAAGACAAGAGACAAAAATTGTTTATACACATTAAGCGCAGCCAGAATTCAAGTGGCAAAACAATGGAAAGACAAGGAGGAACCTTCAGTGGAGGATTGTTTAATAAAATTACAGGAACTAATATTAATGGAAAAACTAACAGACTCATTGAAAGGAAAGAGTAGAACAGAGCACAAATCTCAATGGGGGAAAGTAAAGAATTATCTTAAAGAGAAATGGAAGAAAGATTCCAAATCTGTTCCGAGTGACTTAGGCTTAAATTAGAAGCAGAACTGCTCTCAACAGAAGTAAAAACAAAGTAAAGCAGATTGTTAATATGGATATAAAATAAGAATTAAGAAAGATATTATTAAGATTGCGAAGAAACTAAATGTTTGGTGGGAAATAAGGAAGTAAAAATGTTAAAGACTTACTGTTTTGCGAAAGAGATAGTAGAAAGTTATTTTGGTTATGTGCTAATATTGTGATAATTATTTACTTATTTTTATAATTTCTTTTTAAAATGCAATAAAGATTAAAAGTTAAAAAAAGAAGACCCCAAGACATTTTTGGTGCCTGAAATGCAAAATCCAAATTACACCATTAGCAGAGGGTGGTGAGTATATTTAAACCAAGTTAACTGTCAATTTATTTTCCTTTAATAGTACTCTTAATCTTACCATTTGAAGCAGGCTGCCTAATTTAAAGGTACATGTTTTGTAAGAGAATGCCCAAATAATTAAGTATCCAATCTGTCAAATGGGCATCATTCATACCCTCAGAAACAAATAGGTTTCCCTTAATAAAAACATTTTAAAATTAAGGATCTGTGTCTTTGTACATAGAAAACAATATATCCAGACACACAAGACCATTCTGTGTACACACAATAATTCTGCACAGCTTCAGTATCTGACTCACTGCTGAGTTTTAAAGGATCCCTTGAGCTAAGAAGTAAAAATTAACAATTTCTGTCTCTAGGGTGATCTGTGAAAGAGTACATAGTTTGTTACTAATCTTATGCAGTGCTGTAATTACAATCTAACAAGAGAGAAATGTTTTCTTGTACATCATTAATTGTACCTCAATATCCCTCTGGAAATCAAACAGATCAATCCGCTGCCAGTTGCTACCATCAAGGGCCAGGACATTCCATGCCTTCAGTGAAAGGACAGAAGAATTAAAAAGAAAAAAAGGGGAAAAAGTAAATCAGTGATTAAATGCAGATGAAACACGAGCAAGTGAAGACAGTGATTTAATTTCAACTCACACCGAAGCTGCTGGCTTCCAGAGAGATGTGGTACCGAGAATGAGATCAATTCTATAAGATTCAGCAGGGCAACATGGAAATAGCCTCAGCCAGACATCAATTTTTTTAGACAACTACACTGCTGACTGAATGCTTAGATCTTCTCTAGGTAGCATTTGTTTTGCTGAATATTAAAATCAAGGGTGGGAAACCTCTTTCAAACCAAATTCTGTTTTAAATAAATTCTCAGGAGGGGCATATTCCACTTGGAGATGAGGCCAAAGACAAAAAGGGCAGGATTTTAGTGACTTAAATCTCCGACTGAAAGTAGTTAAGAGGTATTTCAACCATTCAGTACAGGGGAAAAATGTTCAAAAGCTGGAAAGCCACCCAATGATGTTATAGCTGATGGCCTCTCGCCTAAGGACATACATTACTGTAGAACAGTATGGATGTCTTGTCAGGACAAAAATCTTTATTTCCAGCAAAATAACATAGGACACTATAAGAATATCTTTACTTTAAGCCAGCTTTGAAATAAAAAGAAATATTGCACTGAATACACAAGACAAGCAAGAAAAACTTTGCTTAGGAGAGGGGCCATACAAATCATGAAGGCCCAATATTCTATTTTCAAAAAATCTTCCTAAAACACTAGTTCTGTTTCACACTGAAACTTCTTGAATCATCTACAATCAAACTACATTATCCATGGGAGACTGAAAGCTAGCACTTTTTAGTCTATGTCTATCTCACAGACATAGCGGCTGTGTGCAGAAACCGAGCTCTCTGATGTAAATAACTGTGCAGGAGATTTGTTTAGAAAGCTAAACAAATATTGTCAAAGACTAACTGGCACTGCCATTGCATTTTTTATTTTTGTGGTAAGTACACATATTTGGAAAGTAATTCACAAACCTGAACAATGTGGAAAATTCCAACTATGCAGCCGGAGGTAGGGCTGGAGACCACGCCCCCTAGGGGCAGTTTGCATTCATCACTTAAACACATCTCAAGCAGAGCTGGCATAGACATCTGCCATGAATTTTTAGGAATCTTATTTACACTTTTCCTGCACTATCCAGAAAGCATTGATGCATAATCTATAAACCCCTAAATGGCCTGGGTCCAAGCTATCTCAAAGACCATGTCTCCCATTATGAGCCAGCTCAGATGTTAAGATCATCAGAGAGGCCTTTCTCTTGGTCTTGCCACCTTCACAAGTGCATCTGATGGGGACAAAGGAGAGGGTCTTCTCTGTTATTTCTCCCAGACTTTGGAACTCTCTCCCACAGGAGGCCAGACTGGCCCCATCTTTGCCATCCTTCCACAAACAGGCAAAGAGCTTTCTTTGCAGGCAAGTCTTCCCTCAGTAACCAGCTATCTATGTTTGATTTTTATATAGATTGTTATGTATTACTGTTTTGATTAGATTTTTAGTACTACTTGTGTTTCCCCTTTTTTATGTTTTCCATTTCTCAGAGAGTCATTTTTTAATTTTTTGAATACTTATTGATTTTTGCCTTAATATTGCTTGTTAATGATGTAAAACACATCTTTATTCATTGTTCTAGTTCTAAATATTGTCTTTTAATGATGTTAACTACTATTGTATAATCATTGTTTTCAGCTTTAAATATTGTCTTTCATTGTTGTAAGTCACCTTGGGTCCTTTTCAAGAAGAAAGGTGGGGATAAAATATTTTAAATAAATAAATAAAAATTAACAAATAAATAAACAAATAAGCAAGCAAGCCTGGAGAAGTGGATTTTACCCTCAAAAGCTTGCTATTTCATATTTGTAGCAATCTAATAAATATATTGCATACTCTTGCATTTATGTAATCATAAGGACTAGATAGCCTTTCCCTCATTTTTTAAAGGAAATATATACAGTGGTGCCTTGAATAGCGAGCGCTTCGAATACCGATAAAATCAAATAGCAATTAGTTTTTCAGGGCATTTTTGCGCTTCTATTAGCGATGGTCCCTATGGGCGATTTTCGATTAGCGATAGTTTAAACAGCCTCGTGTTCGCTACAGTACAGTACAGTATTTTTAAAATGTTCTTGCACTCATCGGCCCTCGGGGGCTGAGGGCTGGCGGCCTCGGAGCCATTGCTGTGGGCCGAGAGCTTGCGGAGAGCAGGCGGGGCCCCAGTGCTGGTGGTGCTGGGGGGGGGCTGTCGCCAGGCGGCGGCGGGGGCACCTCCTCCTCTTCCTCCGAGGAGGCGGCAGGGGGCGCTCATCCCCAGACCGGCGGCAAGCGGCGCTTCGGCTGGCTCGCTCCTCCCGGGGCAGCGGCGGCCACCCATCTCCTGGCGGCCCGTCCGGGCCTCCTCCGGCTCCGGCTCCTCCTGGCGGCGCTGGGGGTTGAGAGAGGAGAAGAACAAAGGGACCTGCCGGGCGCCCCCCGGCAGGCAGGGCCGGGCGGCCATGACACTCCTTCTGGGCTGGCTGGCTGGCTTCCTTCTCCTTCCTCGCTCCCTCACTGGCTGGCTTTGTTCTGACTCTTCTTTAATTTATTGTTGATTTTTTCCCCCATTGAGATGCATTGAATAGGTTTCAATGCATTTCAATGGGGGAACCGCATTTTGATTAGCGATGTTTCCCATGGAGATTTTTGAAAAGCGACGGCAATTCGTTCCTATTGGAACGGATTAGCCGGCTTTCAATGCATTTCAATGGGAAACCGTGTTTTGAATAGCGATGAAATGAAATAGCAATGTTTTTCGCGGAACGCATTAACATCGCTATTCGAGGCACCACTGTATAACCTTACAATTTCTTGCAATATCAATATCAATAATAAATCCTAGGCATGCAGATCTTTTAACATGAATCTCATAACCTGAAACCTAGTCAAAATGTGATAATACATTCAAGGATTCATGCAATAATTGTTTTGGAGTCTTCAAAATTGGAACCATCTAAGCAGGACAACGGGGACATCTTTCTTCAAGCACTAGGTAATACAGTAATATCCTGCTTAATGCTGTCCCATTTAGTACTTTTGTTATAACACATTTCTCAACATTTTTACCACCCTCTCAAGAGTAAGTTGTTTATTATTCTTTGCTTGGGGCAAACGCACCTCTCTTCCCCCCCCTTCTCTTCTCTCTCTTTCTTCCTCCTCCTTCAGCTCCCTTTCACACACATTATCCTAGAAAGAAACATCCATGCTGGCCACAAATACACACAAGCAAATGGACAAGCAAATGGTTAGTTGGCAGGAACTTCTTCCACAGCTGTTTCTCACTTGCCGACTCCTCTTCAGGTTGGACTTGATTTAAATCAAGTTAGTTTTAATCACGATTTAAATCGCTAGTCAGTAAACATTTTTTAAAAATCTGATTTAATTTTTTAATCTAAATTTTAAATTGATTTAATTCAATATTTGGATTCAAATCCTTTTTTAAAAAATCATGATTTAAATCAAATCCACCCTTCCTCTCCCATGTGGTAAAGGCAGCAAAGGCACCAATTGCCTGGGGCAGCTGAAACAACTTCTCTTTTTCCTTTTCTCCTTCTTCTCTTCTCACACACAACATACTAACCTTTTCTGACTTTTCCTTCCATGATTTCCCCCTCCCCCCCCACTGCGATGGACATGGAGACTCAAACTTGGATTTTCACCAACCCAATACAGTGTTATACTGACCCCATTTACCACTGTTTTGCTTCACACACCACATTCTAGGAACATATCCTGAGTGTTAACTGGAATATTACTGCACTTTTAATTTCACTTTAATTAGTCTACCTACTGTGTCAATATTTTTTATCTCAAATTTTCACCATGTTTTTATGTACCTCTACTCCCAGCCAAACAGGAATCATGTTTTTCAATATAAGGTGATGGGAAGTGAGGATGCAATCTTTTGTTTAGCCTGATGAAGATCCGTATACGTTTGAAAGTCAGCTTATATCTATCAATGTTTTATTAGTCTAATAAAGGTATTGCCCCACTTGCTTTTGGATTATAAGCAAGGACCACACAAAGTTCTTCTCTTTTTAAATAGTTTATAGTATTAGTCTATAAAAGCCGTTGTCTAAATCTTTGGGAATGTGAAAGAATGTAATCACTCATCAGAATGAATGGCTGTATTTGTTATACTCAACAACTTTCACTGATTTCTATAGTAGCAAAATTTGCACTTTCCCTCTTTTCTTAATATTCTTTGTAACTAACAGTGAAATGTCTTTCAAAGAGGCTGATTCCTGTTTGGCCAAATCAGTGAGAAAAAGAAGAGGTGAGGAACGAATCATCATCATCATCATCATCATCATCATCATCATCATCATCATCATCATCTTAAAACTGCAAAGCTACTAGGACATCAGAATGATATGTAGCAAGTAAAAATGACTGGGAGTGGGTGGGATGTGTGTGTGTTCTCTTGGAAAGGCAATTCAAAGCTATCTAAACCCACTCATGCTAGAGGTGGGGTGGACATATTCCAGATGTCCAAAAGCTGCATCAGCCACCTTGAAACCTCACTGGACTGCACCATGACTCTACATTTTGCAAAAGAAGCTTAAATGGCCCGTAGAATCCTTTTCTTTAAAACTGGAAGAGACCAGAATGGCAAGATTAGGCATTTCAAGTCAGATTTTAAAATTGCACTGCATCAGGGAGCTCACTGCTCTACAGTGGGGTCTCGACTTACGAACTTAATCCGTATTGGAAGGCAGTTCTCAGGTCGAAAAGTTCTTAAGTCGAATCTGCATTTCCCATAGGAATGCATTGAAAACCATTTAATCCGTATCTGCTCTTTTCATCCATAGAAACTAATGGGAAGCTGCTCTTCCGCCTTCTGCCACTAGAGGGGGATATTTTTTTCCTTTTTTCCTTTTAACCTAAGATGACTTAGCTTTTAAAAAAAGGAAAAAAAGAGTTCGTAACTCGAATCTAAGTTCGTAAGTCGAGTCCATATAATCCTATGAGAGCAGTTCGTAAGTCGAAACGTTCGTATGTTGAGCCGTTCGTAAGTCGAGACCCCACTGTACTAGAAATACATATATGCACAAGCCTACAGAAGAGATGACTTAACTGTATGACCAGTTTATTATATAATGAAGGGAACTATTGTATGTGGCTGTGAGAGGGTCTCTGAAGCTGGATCATTCCCCCTGTCTTCCACCCTAGTCACCTCATGGGTGATTTCACCTGGACTATGCTTTACATGGAAGGCAGCTGTGCTGTCCATTAAGAAGGTGCTAATCCCACCAAAATCATCAATGGAGGTACAGGAAGAGAAGACAACAGAAAGGGCTGGACCAGAGGTATGAAAGCAGGGAGCGTTTGAGAAAGTGCTGGAGTCAGGAAAGGGATGTACTGTCCAAATATTTTAGAAGAGAAGAAGAAAATGTGAAAGAAAGAAGAGGGAGAAGGAAACAGAAGGAGGCTGGACTAATAGCAGCAGGTAGAGGAGAAGGAGGAGGAATGGGAAGAAGGAGATGAGAAACAAGAGAGTTGGGTGAACATGTGGAGTGACCCCAACCAGAGCTAATGAAAGAAGTACCAAAGGCATCTAGTTTTAGCTGGCCCACAGACACCATCACACAGAGAGTATGCCAGCAGCCATCCATGGAGCCAGCCTCAATGAAACCCATTCCTACCCAGCTGAGATGCTAGAAGAAGCAGAAGCAATTTAACTGACTTTGGCAGTTAGAAGTGGAGCTAAGTGCATTCAACTCATTACCTCCTGCTCCTGAGGCAGAAGACATGGGTAGGGATGATTCCGAACCCAGAGGACTTGCAAGGACATGTTTAAAGCACCATATTTTTTCGCGTATAAGACCCCCTCCCCACTTTTCTAATTCAAAATTAAGAAATCTAAGAGGGGCTTAGCAAGTGTAGGATCACTTTGATCCCTGCTTTCCCCTCCACTTGTTTTTGTTCTCTCCTCAGCTTAATTCCGTGCATAAGACGACTCTCAATTTTTAGTCTAAAGATTTTAGACAAAAGTATAGTCTTATACATGGAAAATACAGTAATTACTCCCCTTCTTTTGGCTGAAGGACTGCCCAAGAGTAGAATGATGGTGTTGATTATTTAATGGAACATATGCTTTACAGTTGGTAGCTACATCATTAGCTAGTTCAGTAAAGTTGAGTGGCATAAAATAATCTGTACTCTGATTCTTAAATTTGGACCAAAAGACACTTTTGGTGCTCTCTCTTCACCTGGGTCAGAATGAGAATGATATTTACATCAAGAATTTCTACTTGATCAGTGGTAGGTTTATCTCTTTGTACACCTACTGTGAATCTTTGTAGAAGGATACTTTCAAATTCCAAAATGGCAAAACAACACTCATTTAGGTTAATTTTACTGACCTAAAACTAAGAAACACCTAATTAACAGAGGAGCAAAGGCTTCTGGTATTATTACAGAAAGATTAATGAGGTGGCAGTGGGGGAACATGCATTCTGATTGAAATACTGCTTGAAGCTGATACTTTATTGGCTTTGAGACAAGATGGCAAAACAGAGGTATCTAGTAGACAAGCAACTAAGCCCTTACTAATATTGGCAAGCAAATATTCTTACCCTGGAAACCTGGGCGCAACGGCATAGCGTGACCACATCCAGGAAGGAGAATATTCTGTTAATAAACACATACACAAAAATAACTTAATACTGGACCTTTTACACAGGATTTTTCCTTCAAATAATTAGCAGTAATCTAAAGAACTTGATTTGACAATTTGTGTCACTCCTGAAAAATTTCAAAGTAGAATAGAGCTCAAAACTTAAAAAATATTTAACCAACTAACTGGTGAAATCCTTATAGGGTTCATCAGAATGGTAACAAAGCCTGATTCCCAGAATAACAAACAAGGTATCTTCAAATGTATATGTATAATGACTAATTCATCAGTATAAAACAACTGTAATAAAGAAACACACATTACAAATAAATAAGTCAGTTCACAGCTTAAAACTGTGCAATTCAATCATACTGTTATTTATTTATTTATTAATAAATAATTATATTGCTCTTCAAGAATCTATATACCACTCAGATCAACTCACAATGAAAGACAATATAACATAAAATCATACATTATTTAACTAGAAATAAATTAGAAAGAATAAGACTGTAGGTATAACAACCTGTATTACCAAATGTTATACTGTATTTGATTATAATTAACGCAAAGAATCTAGGAATTTTGGGGCCAGACCAAATAGTACCAAACTTAAAGACCAAATGATGACATGTCATATAATGCATTAAAACAGGCATGTAAAATGAAAACCCAAAAACCACATAGCAACAAGGCACTGCTCATATTTGTTTTCAAATGTGGTTGCAGTTACAGCACAGTGTTCCAAAGGAGGAAAGAGAGATGTAAAAAGCTAGTGGCTAGTATCCTGTTCAATATTTCCATGTATGAGGAGTTCCAACCATGGAAGTTGCCATAGTAATCCAATGAGGTGCTTGTTTCATGTGAACTTGCACTTTGTCAGAGTGACACAGCAGTTTCTGCAGTTGAAGTGGTGCAAATGTAAATCTTAAACAGGACACTAAGTAACATTTATATCTACATTCCTGTATATACATCCGGGAGGCAAAGAGCCCTTCTCTTCCCTTTATTATCAGATAACACTACAGTATTAGGCAATTAGAAGTTAGAACTTGCCTTGTAGGGTATTTGATAGTCAGCAAGGAACTATGCAGGGCACTGGCACAAACCCTCCATCAATGGGGAAGTCATACAGCTATGTAGCTCCTAGTTTCTGAGTATTCAGCAGGCAGTAGTGTATATTTTTAAATTCATCTACACAACATGTGGGCTACAAACTTTCTTTAAAGTCAAACTGGAGATTTTCTGGAAGTCAAATTTTGCATCCAGTATAACTTCCTGTATTTTTTTTCCTATGATCCCATACAACTGTGTCATGTAAACAAAATTTCCCTCAGCTTTCAATAACACATTAAAGATGTTTTTCTTCTCTCGCTGTTACAGACCATAACTAGAATACTTCTGGAACTTGAATTACCTATTTTTAACACAAGTCTCTTCTGAATATAGTTATTCCTTGGATTTCAGTTTTTCTCACAATAGGCACTTGAGTACTGGGGAGTTACCCTACATCCAGCCCTTCCAAAAGCAGTAACGAGCAAGAAAACTAAAGAATATTATGATACTCTTTAGCTATCTATGAATTTGAACTAATCTCTTGTGTCCCTAGGTAGAAATGACAGGGCAGCTTCCAGGGTTACACAGAATAATTTCATTTGAAAAACCTGTACAAACTTTCCAAGAACAGGAACATTTCCAGAACTAAAAGCAGCACTAAAAGCTGCCTAAAAGCCCAGCACAAATGCTCTCTTGGCCAAGTTACAGTAGCTTAGGGACTCTACACACACTGATTGTTACATGTTCCAGACGAGCAAGGAGGTGATGACATAGTTTTCATTTGTCAATTTGAAAGAGAGATGGATAAAGTTGTAATTAGACAACACACTTTCAATAAGGCTAATCTCCTCATCTACTGGATTCACCAAAGCTAATCTCTGTTTACATCAGCTATTTTTGTTTTTTTTAAAAAACCCTCCACTCTTCCTTGCCTCCAAATTTCTCACAGTACTGTATCAGAAAGTTGCAGCCAGTATGCACAAGGAAAGATACAAAATAAAGGCATGATTCTACGCATCCCAAATGCAGACAAGCTACTTATTCATACAGAGTTCACTGATATGATGAACAAAGAGCGGCTAAGATGGGGGCAGGGGCAGGTTAAACATTTGCTGAAACAAAGGGAGAAACATTATCTAGATCAGTGGTTCTTAACCTTGGGTTACTCAGGAGTTTTGGACTGCAACTCCCAGAAGCCTTCACCACCAGCTGTGCTGGCTGGGGTTTCTGGGAGTTGCAGTTTAAAAGCATCTGAGTAACAAAGGTTAAGAACCACTGATCTAGATGTATTGAATAACTATGAGCTACAAACAAGTCAGTTTTATGCACCTTACATATCAGAACTACTTAACACAGTTTGTTTTGTGTCATCAAGATTCTTTACATCAAGTTTTCCATTGATGTAAGAGGGATTTCCCAAGGAACTGCCAGATATGTAAGGCTACATCTCTCATCATCCTCACGCATCACTGCCAACGCATTTGGAGGGCCACAGGTTACAGAAGACTGATCTAGACTGGATTGTTCTACTGAGTTTGTAAAAGCTGGGTGCTTCTCAAGCTGGTAGTGCACAGTCTAACAAAGATACAAATTATGCTCAAGTTTCAGCATAACTCTCATGGCTTCCCCTCAAAGACACTTAGGAAATGTTGTTTGATGAGGTGCAAATAATGTTTATTTAAATAGTTCTCTTTCCACCCTCCCCAAAACCTAAATTTCTGAGGTCCCCCCAATATAATTTAAGATTGCAGCGTGGATATGCCTCTGTGACTGTCCCCGAATGTGGGCCTGCTTTCCAGGTATGTGCCATTCATTTTTACTTATTTTACTACAAATACCAGGATTTTCCATTTTGGGAATTCCATCTGTAAAGACCAACACTTGGTTGGTCTTTACAGATGGAATTCCCAGAGTGGTCGTAAGACCAGATAGACGGGATATAAATAGAAATAAATAAATAAACACTTAAACTGTGCTTTCCTGGAGAAAAGGAACATCCTTATTGTTTTCGTACGATATCTACTAGATGCTCCAAGTATGAACACCTATTATACATGTTGCTAGATATTTCTATTTGGGTGAAAGAGATTCTTCAGAGCAAGAGTTTATTATGCAGGCCATCAATTTAATCTGCAATAGGTTACTGTAAGGAAACCTCAGGGCAAAGTAGGATGTAGAATGCCAGTAAATAAATACTCTGAATCCTATATACCAAGACATAAATTGTTTAGTAAAGTCATCAGGGGCAAGATGAGCTTAGTAGTCAAAGTGTAAAAATAATTCCTACTGAATCAGAGGTAAAAATGCTACAGCTCTCATTTCCCTGGTGGTTTTCACCAGGGCAGGACAAAATATAGTTTGTGGGCTGAATGTGGCCTCCAACCTTTTCTTTTTGCACCCTTGGTGCCTCACCAGTAAATATGACATAAAAATACCAAGCACTAAAAACTAGCTTGCCATCAAAATGCTACCTTTTAAAGGAAATGAAAGGGGGCCTTACAGCTGTCCTTTTAATTCAGAAATTATATTTGTTCATATTTGTGCTTCTTCTCTCTGCTATTTTGCAGCATTTTCCGTCATCAAACAAAAGCGGGTTTCCTTAGGGATTATCTGACCAATGTTCCTGAAGCCTCTATGGTGCTGAGAGGATCTGGGTCCACAACATTCCATAGACTACTGCAAGTTGCTCTCCAACCAGTTGCTTCTGATAGTATCAGTGGTCTGGTTTACTCTTCTAATTACAATTAAGTGTAACAGTGGATCTCATGGATGTGGGATCCAACAGTGGTTCCCATTCATAATCAATGAATGTAATAAGCTTAATTGACTATGTAACCTCTATTTCAGTTTTAGTCTGAAATAATTTTACATATTTAATAATCAATGAATAAATTGCAATTAAATAAGTAAAATACCGACTATTGCTATTATTATTATTGCATGCAGTAAAATTGACATGAAAGAATAATTCTGATTTAAATTCTTCTACATATATTCTATATTAGTAATAAAATATTTCACCGTTTCATTTTTTTAAAATCTAAGTGCTACCAACTTCCTCTTAGGCCACACACACTGTCTCCAGTCATGCTCACTTTGGAGGGTAGCATCCTGAGCAGCTGACCAACCTGAAAAAACAGCTACTGGCCTCATGGAAACTGTCCACATCTTTCCCAAATCACATTCTGCTGCAAAATTGAGAGCTACAACTGAAAAGTAAGAAATCCTATACGTATTTCACAGATTCTTGTGAACAGTGTCTTCTAAGAGAAAAATCAACCTCTACACTTTGTAAATGTGTGAGAAAGAATATATGCCTCTATGTGTGGGAGGGGCAGGGACAGAGGGAAAGATCTCCTTGGTGATACAAAGGTTGTCCTCCTCTTAACTATTTTCCCAGCTCTCTTTTTCAAGACTAATACCAAGTAAATCCCTTGCATGTTTAATTAACCTTCTGACCTCTGATGCTTAATGACTCTACTTAAATAGCTCACTTTCTGGGAGGGTGGAATACACCACAGTTCTTAAGCAGAGGAGCAGGTGAAAGAGGGATTGAAGAGCTCAGCTTGGTTACAAAATGGACCCAATCCAAAGATGTGAGGGAGCAAGAAAAAGCCATGTTTATGCCATTGTCCCTACATAATTCAGTACATACTGTACATGACCAACTGAGCCAATGATCCTTGGGATTGTACAGTAATTTTACCTGCAGAAGCCTGTTTTCCTCCACATGCAACATATTATTTGTCTAATTTAATCTTCAGTAATAAACACACAGCCACATTGTAGAAGATCTACTGATATTGGACTGTAATTTTTAGCTAATTAACCCTCCCACTGCAGATTACCAAAGCACCCCTGACACCTGAGAAGATTTCAAACAATTTGTGAACATATATGAAGAAAAGCATAAGTGGGAGGTGACTTGTTAGGAAAGTTCTCTGACACAGGGTGCCTC